AATGAAAGCTTCACTTGCCCAGCGCAGAGACTATCAAGTGAAGTGTGATAGATCAATCCAATTTGGCGCAACTAAGCGGGAAACCGAAGCGAAGACGAACACGATGACGGCGGCGACGGCGAATCCAACTGAAAGGCGAACGAAGACTCAGCCGAACTGTTTCCTAGAATCGAAGCCGAATCCAAAAAGCCGAACCTATTCCTAAAAGCCGAACTCTTATTGCTGACCGAACACCTGCAAAGGAACCCATCCTATGAAAAAGGGAAGGGGAGGCCCTTACCAGCCCAGGGAACCCGCTAACTAACCTAACTACAATTAAGTTAAGCCGAAAAAAAGTCCCGAAGCTTCAGGCCGAACGTGTGTGGAAAGTATGCTTTGCAAGGTTCCTCCAGAGCTCTATATACCCCCCTTGACCCAACCCATAAGGAATGCACCTGACCTGTACCATTTCAGTAGATAGGCTGTGCTGTGCAGTCAAGGATGGAAGTGTGTGCTCTGGTGGGGTGATCTGATCCGATGGTCTAGTTTTGGGGTGCTGGTGGGATCTGATGGTCTGATTTGGTGATCGGGTCTGACGATGGTCTGTTGTGGTATCAGGATGTGGTGGTCTTATCTCTGATCGGATTGTCTGGCGCGGTGGTCTGATGAACTGGTTTCATGGTCTACTCTGGACGTCTGCCTGAGGAAGATGGCCTGGTCTGACGGCTGTAAACTGAAAAAATAGACCAAGCTAAGTTAAGTTACTTAAGTAAGACCCTTTCATTTTAAGTTCCTACATCGGAGCATGATTGCCACTAACGATTTTTTAAAGAAAATTAACCTTAAGCAGGCTTCAGGCTTTCTTTTCGCAACTGCAAAAGTTGCGTATGTAACTGCGATGATCTCTCCTCATACAATTCTTCACTCCGCGGTTCACATATATTATTTTCAAATACTCATAACTTTATAGACACTCTGTCGCGATCTTCTTACGCGAGAGATCACCCGAAAGGTTGCATGTGATTTACTTATAGCATATGCAGTCGTTGCTCTGATGACGATCTTGGCCAAACTTTTCCATTTCTATTGAATGTCATTAATTTGCAATGTTCAAAATCATAGTAACTATACTAAATCTATCGCAATCTATTCACGCAAGAGTTCACGCGAGAGGTCGCGAATGACGTAATTATATCATACAAATGTGTCTCTGGTGACGATCTTTGTATCGAAAATTGCAATGTTCAACATCATAGTAACCATACTGGCTATGTCGCAATCTCTTCACCAGAGATTCCGCGCGAGAGGTCGCGCGTGACGCTCTTATATCACATGAGTGTGAATTAAAGTATGATTGCAAATATGGTTTGTAGTTTGTTTCAAAGCAATTTATCCGTAATCGGGCTGAGAATAATGGGAAGAAGACGAAACAATAATTTACTACTATTACGTAATTACGTCACTCTTAGATTGAACATCAATCTAACAATTAAATTGTCAATAGTTTAAGTATGCATCATCTTAACTGCTTGTAATCATTTTGGGGGGATTTGTTTGCAAACATACGCGTATTTACCGCTGGAATTTTGTATTGCTTTTATACGCGTATGATCCAAATGAATCCACCCATTATGTTGAAAGTTGCATGTCATAAAAAAATTGTCGGAAAAAGTACTCGCAAACAGCCCAAAAGGTATTGTGGGTGATATTGAGTTGATTGTTCTTCAAAGAAATTTAAAATAATGACACTAAAGGCCATGGATGTATGTTTAACTTATGTTTGGGAGTGCTAAAGGAAAGCAACAAAAGTAAATTCGCCACCGCTGCAATTTAAGGAACAGTGTAAAATGATCATATCCCATATTACTTTTCGCTTTTGTCGCTTGAAATAGCGATTTTCTTCCGACAACGTTTCTCGAAAGAGCTGTATCTCTTATTTCGTCCATTCTTCTTGTTCTTCATTCAGCGAAAGCCTGAGGTTTGCTTTTTATGACCCCGTTAGAATGTAAATAGCAACTCCTATCTTCAACACTTCAGTTTAAGTATATGGTACTTTTTCTTTAATGTGTTTAATATAAACTGCTTTCTGAATAAATAGAAATTCACGAAAAATCTTTTGCAATTTACTTCGAGGCTTTTCGCCATGGGTTTGGTCCATATTTATTTAAAGGTGTGGTGGCCTATTTTGCGATATTAACTCCCGTCAAAATCTCGCTGTTGTACACAGAGAAAAAAATTAATCAAATTTGTCGTTTCTGCAAATTCCGGTCTTGGCTGGTAATACTAAATTTGGAAAAAAAGAAAGACGTAATTTGCCGGGTCCCTTTATCAGGACATTGAGGTCTCCACCGAGTTTTGCCAAAAGAGGATAAAGCTCTTGGTTTTGCATCAATCTTAGTGACAGCCACGTGTACGACCTTGTACTACCAAGGGCTTTCAAAATCATGGACAAATTTTGCTCTCTTTGTTTTGCTTGAGCATTTACTTATATTTCTACTCGCTATTTCCCCTCTTAGAACAAATAATTAACTACAAAACAAGAGCTTTTGACAAAGAAATAACTTAATTTGAAGATGGACTTGACGGAATACAAATGTCAACCGAATTGACGATAACTTTAACAAGTAATTTACCTCAGGCGCTGGTTTTAACATTCCAGAAGGTTTCCACAGTAAGCTTACTTGAAGTAAAGCTGAGAAAGTCGAACTGTCAGCTAATGCGAGAGCGTCTTCTTTTTCCTTCGTGAGCAACTTTCGTAAGCTTTCTCCACCGAAACTATCAATTTTTGAATGCGGCGCGGAGCAACGCTCTAATTTGAATAATAATTTCTGATTGGATTTTCTTACCGCACGTGCCTATGTAGCAAGAACAATGGTTGTTTACCACATACACCTCTGGCCCGGTTCCTCAAAAGATGATTAAGTTTAACCCAAGATTAAGCCAAATTTTAAGCACTGTTTTCTTGTCTAAGAACATGTAACTCAAGCTATAACAAAATAGTGTTGAGCTATTAGCCTGAGATACAGTAACGATAACACAAAATGTTACTCTAACGCTAATCGGCCTTTCAGGAACTGGGTCCAGGGGCCCGTTTCTCGAAAGTCCCGGTAATTAACGGGCCCGGAATCATATTTTTAAATCAAAGTCTCAAGAAAAGTAGGGTGTGTTCTGACCTCTAATGAAGTCCATTTTGTTTCGTAACATGATAAAACTATCTGTATATTTTCAAAAACAGTTTAAAAACGCTCTTATTCTTTAATTTGGAAAACAAAATTTGATTTCGGGCCCGAAATGTTATCGGGACTTTCGAGAAACAGGCCCTAGGGCATTTGGGACTTGTAAGGTTAATTAACATTTCAAATAAATTCTTTGAAAAGATCTTGGTCCAGTGAACTATTTGCAAGGTGGAAAAACCGGTTATTAAATTTGGCGAAAAAAGAAAACGCAAAGGAAAAACTGGCAAAGTAGCGAAATCTTGCTCCCGTAAAAGGAAATGTTTGCTTTACACAAAAAAAAATTGTTAAGCCTGATTTCTCTTTTTCAGGATTATGCAAATTCTTAATAAATGCATCTCAACGACAAAACTGTACCCAGCGTTTTTTGTAATTTTTATTATTAATATGACAAGCCTGAAAAGTGAACCCGTTGATTCAACAGAGACAACTATTAGCTAACAACACACAACCTCTTCGTTCCGTTCAAAACACGTTTTGTTTTTTAACAGAGGTCTTCCCATCTTGCCCGTGGGCTAGTCTAGGTTTTTTCATAAATCCCACCTTTAATCTTGGCCCAGAAGGGTAGTATATATAGGTGGTTTTCATGCAATCTCTGGAGACACAAATAGCAATGGTGAAATGAACAAATGCTGGTGGACAAACAAAGGGAGCTAATGAGCAATCTTTTGTTTACCGTCCACCAGTATGGCGGCGATCACGTAACGTGAAAACCACCTATAGGATAATGTCTGAGCTCCGAGGCCTTCTTATAAACAATGACCGAGCGCGCAGCGCGAGGTCATTATTTTTAAGAAGGCCGAGGGGCGAGAGCATTATCCGATTTAATGGACCTTTCCATTGTTTTAGAACAAGCAGGTCATTATTGTGGCCACTGAAGTGGAGCAGTAGGTTATTATTCGTAATATGACCTCCTGTTCCACGTCAGTGACCTGCCCTTCCATTTATTGAAAATAGTAACCTGTTCAAAACATTGGAAAGGTGCATTAAAGTAGGGACCGTTACTCCTTTTTTGCGGCGAAATCTCATCAACTTGTGGGGGAATACATTAACACAGATGACGTCAGAGTATTTTGTCTTTATCTCGTGAACAAAATGCGTAGGAATCTCATTATCTATAAGATGGACATCTCTCTAAGACGGACACTTGATGCCGGTCTCAAAGATGTCTGTCTTAGAGAGAGATGACTCTATCCGGAGTAGAAGGGCCAACGCAGTGCATTAATGAAAGCACCTGGGGTTAACCCCTTATATAAGCCATATGGGCATGTGCCGCCCCAAGGGGTAAGGTTTTTGCGCCAACGGGTATAGATTTAGCCAATTTTGATCTGCATTCGGCTATGGCTTACGAAGCAACTACGTTTGTGTATCAGCGTGTTCGTCGTTTCAATTCCAGTTGAATATCAAAGAAAGTCGAAATGGACTTAGAAATCTTTTTGTTGCGGTTTTAATATCAGCAATGATGACATAATTTCTGTTTTATGTAACGATGTAATGTTGCGTTTTGTGACCACCTCCAGGTCTGAAAACGGGTGTGGAGTTTAGAGGCCAGGTTTGAAAACGGGTGTGGAAAATGACATTTTTTAGTCTGAAAAAGGGTCAGGATATGGAGAACCGGGGAGAACCGCCAGAACCCATTTTCGAGTTTGAATTCAGTGAAAAAAAAAACCTTCGTTAATGCGGTTCACAAAATGGTTATTTACGCAAAAAAAAAGAATGTTAATGTGGTTTTGGCCCATTGGTCACCGCGGGGTTCGACTGTATATAATATCAACTCGTGATACCTACTGTTGTTACATTGTAGTTTTAATATCTGTGCTAAACATTCTTGGTGCTGTACAACTTTGAATTTAAAATAACAATGAGTTAAATGATATACAAAAATAGCTATGATACAAATTCAGTAATGCAGCCTTCATGGCGCAAACTGTACCGACTAGAAGCAGCAAATAGTATTTACCTTATTATAGGAAATGCATAACGCTCCATGAAATAAAGGTATTGGAAAAACAAACAATTTAAAATGACGGAAATTATAGCGATGCTCACAAAGACACAAAACCTGTCGCCGGAGCTAACAGAAACAATTGGTTAAACGTTTTCTGAAATAGAAACTTTCCCTTCACGTACGAAGGGGGTCAAGCAAAGAAATCTGGCCACTTCGAGCGTTCTACACAGTTTCATTGTTACTGGCCGATCTCCACCCTGGAAATTAAGGTCGCGGAAATTAACGCTTCACTATTAACAGCGCGCAAATAAACGTTTCAAGAAATTAACGCAACTTAAATTAAACGTGAATTTTTGAAAATCGCGTTTATTTCCTATAATAAGGTAAATTGCGACCAGCTTCAAGTAAAACTAAGATTTTCGCCATTTTCTGCACGATTATTGTAAATATTATCATTGTAAATACCACTAATAGAGATAATATTCCTAATTTGCCTACATTTTCAGCGGGGATATAAAAGAGCGCAGTTTGAGGCCTATTATCATTATTATTTTTGTTACATTTATTTGCCATCGAAGAAATTGTTCAATACTTAATAATCTGGGCACCGTGGGAAACACGCCCTTTTGTGACTTTGGATGAGTCAGAGGTATACTTGTTTATAAGTCACATTCCACAGGTCAGCGAGCTACGGCTAAAACCAACCAATAAACAAAGAGACAAAACAATACAGAACCAAAAATTTCTTCTAGACCCAATCACTCCGGTGTACATGAAATGTTTCTTCTATAGGTCGCGAGGAAAACTGATTACACACGATAAAACAGTGACTCGAACTTTTGACCTGAGGAATGCGGCCCAAAAAGGAAGACCCCATCTACCTCTTCCCTGGCGAGTTACTGGACTGTTCACAGTACCCTTTTTCTTTACTAAGATCGTAAAGATCGAGAACTTGCCGTTACGGGAGGCCATTTTGGTTTCAAATGTACCGAGGAAGCGGGTGCCGGCGCTTATAGCGGTGGGGAAAGGGAGGCGAGAATTTCTCTCGCCTCCAAAACCGTCCCCTCACCGGCTTAGTACATTTGATACTCATACGGCCGGGCTAGACTCGGTACATTTGAAACTACGATGGCTGCCCATAAAGGTAAGTGTTCGGTCTCGGCCATCTCACCGAAAAACAGGGGACTGTGAACAGTGAGCATTAGAGGTGCAAGACCTATCCCTACGCCGTTTAAGCCGCGTATCAACTGCAGAGTACCCAGGGGATTGTGCAATCGAAAGATTACATGATCAACTGCAATACAACAGGCTGGCGGTAAAGCAGAAATTGTAGTTGGTTAATTAGACGGCCTTTGACCGTCAATGTAAGATCACACATTATCTACGGACAAAATCCCTACGTGCGACCATTTAACTAATTACGTCTTGCATACCGGTAACATCTGTTAAACTTCTCACCACTCTACAAAAACGTAAACCGTACTCCATTTTTAAACTTCTCATTCAACCACAACCTCGCTCCTAGGATATTTTTTTCATTCTCAGTCTTCTCTCGTTCCAGAGGAAAGGAAGACAGACCCCAAGGACGAAGATGTTCTAACAACGTACTCGCATCGGATTCCACCACGGTAACAACCTAAGGCAACGCAAGACGTCTACAAGATGGAAATTCGCTTTTCATGATGAGAAGATTATACCAACAGCACTATGACGCCAACTAAGGAATATAGTATTTTACTATATGGCTGAATCCGCGAGCAGGCAAGATGAAGTCACTCCTGAGTTCTGATTGGCTACCCAAACGTGCAAGATGGGCCCATTTTGCCCTCTCCGTGATAGACCTGAGAGAAAATGTTCTCTTTTCGGCCATATAATAAATCCGTTATTGACCAAGCTTGTTCGGTCAAAATGGGTGAATATTGGCCTCGTTCTTTTTGCTTTTTTATTGACCCCAACGTCGTCTCGATCGATAAAAACGCAAAAAAGAACGTGGTCAATATTTACCCCTCTTGACCTCCACTTGGTCAATAACGTATATCTATAAGCCTCGCAAGGCAACACCAGAAGCCCCATTTCACCAAGACCTGACAACCTTTTGGTCAGGAGAAAAAATTCGGAATCGACAGTTATAGAACAACTCCGTTTCATAGATTTTTGCCTGTAATTTTACCGCTAACTGAGTTTTTAGGAATTAATGTTGAGCAACAAACTAACCCCATGAGCGAAAAAAGGTCCATGTTCGATGTATTTAAGTAGGTATTGTGGTTACAGTAGTCTGTCCTGTTCCCTCTTCTAGCCGGATATAGGTAGGTGTGGTTGCTGTAACACTTACGGCGCTGCGACTGCTGCGCCCACTGACATCACTGCTTAGCGGTGTACCGGGTAATGAGACATCCACATGCACCTGAAGGTCTGAAGGATCTTCGTCTTGCTCTTGTTCAGGTAAAAATACTGGAGATGAATCTGTGAAAGAAACAATACGCTTGAGCACTTGGACAGCAGGAGTTTCGTCATTTGCGCGCTTTGCAATTTTGGGCGTGGAATTAGAAGCCGGCTACACGACCCTAAAGCTTAGTTTTACCAGTAAGACAAACATAACCTCTTTCTACTACAGTTGGTGTATGAATTATGAACGCAAGTAGGGACGTAGTTTGGTAAAATCAATTTGGTAACGAAGATCAAATTGCCCTTTTGCGCACTGTTGGATCTACATGCTTAACCTATCCACATATATTACTGAATGCAACACAGATTCAACAGCCTGGTAAAATCAGCCTGCATACGTGTCCTCTTGTTCGTACACCTTACTTCTTACAGCTGTACGCGTCTGTCGCGTAGGTTACTGAAGTCAGTACCGTCCCTAATAAGAAACGAGCAGGCGCCCACAACGGCAGTTTTGTAACACGTACCTTGTTCCCCATCTTTTACCAATGTAAGCTCTTCCACTTCATCCCCGTTCTTTAATTCCTCAATATTTGCACCTCTGCGAGGTGTGCGGTCTGTTGTGTCCTCCTCAGATGCTCGTTCAATTCTGTGATCCTGTTCTTGTGCATTTCCGGGGGCCTGGTCTCGAGGGCCTCCCGGGGTCTCTCGGCGTTCAACTGTCCGAGCACTCCCAGGACTGGACTGCGCACGCTCAAGTCTAGATCGGTTAGGGGCCGTTCTGGGTCGGGACATTCCAGAGCATGCAGAGAAGGATCGTTCAACATACCGCTGAGTGCGCGCACTCTCAACTCTTCTTCTTCCTGAAGAGCGGATACTCGATGCAGACCTTCGACGCATGCGGGCAATGGCTTCTACAAAAAGCCAATAAAATTAGATATATTAGTTGATAGCGCAGGAGGATTTCTTAACTCGCAATTATTCAAACGTTCTTTCATGGTAAAAGAATGAAATGCAGAAAAGTTGTAAATAAAAGGAACGGAGAAACAAAACAAGTTAGTTGGAAGTTACCATTTAAAAGGGAAACGGCTGACTAGCTAATTGCTGAAAGCTTTATCGAAATCAAAAGGGCATCATAATTACGTGATTCAGTACAACTAGTAGGGATTCAAATAGTCTTCACAAAAGGTGAGTTGTTGGGAGCTTTGTCTTAATACCTTCAGGTATGTTATCTGGTTTGATGGTTCCATTCAATGCTTCCACTAATGGAATCTGTTCATAGCCAGGCCACGTGTCTTCGCCATGGGTGTTTCCCTACAACAAGAAATAAGACAATAGTACAAAGCCCACAAGCACAGTACAGTAAAAAGTAGGATTGGCCTGAATTCCTAAGTGTTTAATCATTTGGTTTCAACATGGGGAATTTAGCTTTCACAGGATTTGTGGGGGCGTAACACGGCATCGTGCCTCATAAAATGGTGTTTGAAACGGCATGATTAACTTAATATCATACCTGAGAATTAGCACTGCTTTCCTTACTGTCTTGTTTACTGTAAGCACAGATCTGAAGCAAGGCATGGAAAGCTAAGGGAGAGAGAAATGATGTATCGTTATATTTAAAAACGACAACAACAAAGAACAATGATGCGTTTAAAGTAGTTTAGTTTATAACATGACAGGAACTCTGACAGCAACATCTATAGTCGCTTTGATCTTACCATTTAATTCTTCACCATGAATTTCTTATGTATGACTATCATATCATATTCATTACTTCATCTTGGCAAATTTCAAGGGTTCACGATGAACTAACTAAACTAGCCAGCAAACTTCCCTGCTTGCTTTTTAACACAACTGGCAAGAGCACTTCAAAAGGTATCCCAGAGGTCAATGGTTCAAAACCTGTAGTAGCCTGAAATTTATCAGGCTTTCTTTACACAACCGCCATAGAAACCTTCTAGAACTGCTTTGAACTTCTTTACATTTACTTCTTCATAATGCAGTTCTAATGGATTTTCATAAACAGTATCCATCACCTCACAAATGGTGAGCATTATCTAGAGTACGAGTGATTGGAATACAGGGGTTTCAATGATTGCAGAGGGTAGCAGGTAGAACTACTGGCATGAAGACTGTTCAATAACCTTTACTCGGGCTGGAAGAATGCTCCATGATCTCAAAAAAATAAAAAATAATAAAAAAAAACATAATAATAATGATACGTTGAAAATGTATTTCTTAATGATGTTTACAGTCAAAGCAGGTCAAGGGTTCCCGTCGCTAACAAACTAATGAATTCATTAATGGAAAAATGATTTCGTTTGTTGATTCAATAATCCATTCATAAAATGAATAATCCAACTGTCAAATTGTACCTCGATTCAATAATCAAATGTTGATTTGGTTTATGAACAAAATCTACCTGTTCTTTATTCTTGTCTGTTGTGTTCAACCGTATTTGATTCCCTTTTCCTGCCGTTTCCGATTGCGTTTTTCATTGCCTTTAATCAAAATAACAGCTAGAATAGACAGACTGCAAACGCAAAGAAACTGACAAAGGCCGAGGATCGAAATCCACCAATCACCGCACATACACTGACCTCAGTTTGACCGTCATGTTTTCTAAGAGGTCAGGCCTAGGTCTGTTGCACTGATTATTGGCAGCAAACTGGCGTACATGTAAAAGTTTGTTTGGGTTTAAACTTCAGAACTCGCCAGCACTCGACTCTCAGAAAAAAAAGAGGAAAAAACAAAATTCTGAGGTCAACTTGTGGAAAGTCTAATTTTTCAAAAAACAGTAATCGAATCAACTTTCGATTATGGAATCGAGGCTAAATATGACTATTGGATTGTTCATTTTATGAATGGATTATTGAATCAACAAACGAAATCATTTTTCCGTGAAAGAATTCATTAGTTCGTTAGCGACGGGAACGCTTGACCTGGTTTGACTGTAATAAAGCAGAAAAGCCCCCAATTTTGCCCCAAAATGCAGGAAAATGTGTCTCCATGAGAGAGACTCATTTCCTGAATTGGATTCCAAATTTCTCCAGGCAAGGATGGTTGGCCAGATCCCCTGCTTAGGAAGAGAATTTGGCCCATCCAAAATACCTGGCTGCCTAGCATCAACTACCAACCATAAATAAGTGTAAATGTTAGTGAAACCCCTCGCATCTTAATACATTCTTTAAGAGAATCTTCTTTTAAGAGCCACAATGTAGAGGCTAAAGTGTATTTTTGTACTTACGTGATCTACATATTGGGCAGTTACTTGCTTGGTACCTAAGGGATTCAGCTGTAGAAAAAAAAAATGAAAAAGACAATCAAATCTCTCTTCCATTTTGGAAGCTTAAGGGTTCATTTAACTGTTGTGATAGTGGATGTGACCTCTCCAGAATATTTTGATAAACAGTTCAATAACTGAGAAGTCTGCTAAAGAACTTAATTCAAGTAATAACATGGTAGCAAGTATCATGGTTAACTTGGTGTCTTATATTGAGTTAGCTTCAGCTAAGTCCTATGACATTTCAATCAGTCATGTTAAACTGAAAGGCCTAGTACAGTTCGTTATACACAAAGATTCTGCAACCTACCACAGTCTCTACAAAGGCATAGATGTCTGCATGGCAAAATAAGAGTGTCTCTCATGTCGCTCATGCAGATGACACATTCTGAGCCAGTCTCTTCGAGGTCATTTTCTTCATCCTGTTCAGAGTTAGAGTTAATTATATTGTCAATGTCTTTGATTCTACAGAGATAAACTGCTGCAACAATACCTGTAATTGCCAGTTCTATTAACTGTGCGTGCAACACTGCTAAAGCCAGCTCCATGAGAAGAACACAGTTGAAAGCATAAGATTATGCTAAGATTAAAGAAGCCGCACACATCATGTGGGAGAATCAAACACTGAACAAGCAACTCAAACATGCTGAGCGTGCTCTTTCGTTGTAACTTTATTTTTGCTATTTTTATTCTTATTACTTTTATTCTTTTTTATGAATATATGAATATATTTTTTTACTGCTGTGTAATATACATTTTAACAGATTTTAAAAATACATTGTATTTATTTGGTTTCTTTGTACCTTTCCCTTGTATGCATAATGTTCGTTATCTCAAGCTCATTAATAACATTATGTTTAAATTGTAATCACGAGTTTTTTGTGTCGTGCATCATCATGCAGATGTATATTGTTAATACAAATCACACACTGTATTACTTGCAATTGAACATGATCGTAGATGAATCAAAACATGTCTTGTCCTACATTTAAATTGAAAGTTGCCGTCCATTTTTCAAGGATTTTTGTTTGTCTGCTTATTTCCAGACCATTTGGAAACATAATAAGATCATAAAACAAAATGTATAAAAAGTACAAACCTTTCCACTTTTTTGATTGATTTTATTTTCTATTCCATAGATTTCTTGAAGAAGGTAGCACAGTCCATCAACCTTAAGTACAACAGTCAAAAACAAATAAAAGTTAAAATACTCTTTATCAGTTCCTTCACAGACCGCTGATTACAAAGTAAATACAGTATTCCTGCAGGTACATGTATTCAACCTTTTCACTCCTTTCCAAAGCACCTAAGGTATGAAAAATCACTTTGCACCTCAAGTTAATTTTTATCGCATCAAATAAGAGAAAACCAAAAGATGGTCAGAACAACTCCAGAAGTAAAATACAGCAAACTGTTACTTCCCTTTACTACAATAGGCTGATTTAGCAAAAAGACAGGAACATCAGTTGTCGACAGGAAAGCATGTAGAAAGGACTGAACACTACTTCCGGTGCCCAATTTGCTGCTCTGCCATTGGTCAAACCAGTTGTTTAATTTGTGTGCACCGTCGTCAACTGATATTCCTGTTCTCTTGCTAAATCAGTCAAATATACTGAGCTCTACAGCACTTTCAAACCCAAGCAACTTATGCAAATGACCATGTTTTATCCTTGAATAAAATAATAATTATTATTTTATGCAATACAATGTAAACAGGAGGTTTCTCTGTAGAGTTAAAGTTCACAAGAAGTGTGCAGCATACCATTTGCTTTTGTTTGATGGGTTTTATTATGTACGATCCATCAGACATTTTTTCAAATGTTGCCATTGTGATGTTACAATGCCCAAAGTATTCTGTTGAGTAGAAATGGGATGGATTATTAGACTGAAACAAAGCACTTTGAATATCATTATTAGAGTAGAGCAGTGTAAAACAGGGAAATAAGTGGAGGGAGGAGGAGGGAAGAAGGAATTTAAGCTGAACAAGAAAAGCACATTTAGCGATGTAGTTGTTAAAACACAAGCTCATGGATACAAATCATACATACATGTACAGAATTTACACTTTCCATTTACATTGTACCAACTATTAACCAAGTTGTTATCATGGCTCACAAATAAGGACAGAAACAAATAATTTCAATGAACAGAACAACTTGGAATCCTATGGCAGAGCAAGCAAGCCAGTTTTCTGTTTTAAAACATGGCTGATATTGGTACAGCTAGAATAGTCATCTGACACAAAAATATTTTGTCTATCACTTACAGTATAAGAATTTTGAGAAAGGATTTTTTATGATTAGGTTATCGATTCACATTATGGCTGCAAAGTGACCTACCTTCTTCATCCACATCAATCTGGATCACAACAGGGATAAAGGCATTGCTTAGGGGACAATAATTCAACTGAAAATGCAACAAAATGAAACATCCTTACTCACTATGAAAAACTTACAGTATACACATGTAGTTAAAAGCGTTTGTTGTTCTCGTACTCTGTACAAGAACTTTGTTTTTACAACAGAAACATACAGACAACCCTGAGCAGTATAACTCTGTTCCAATGCTGGGGTTTTGGAGAACCAATCAAAATTTACACATGTACTTTCTAATATGGTATCACCGACACCAGAGACTGTCAAGCTTGTGTTTTTAGCTAGTGCTAATTACTTTATGCAAAGAACAAACAAGATATTTGGCAAATTATATACCATGCACTGGACATAAAAAAATGCAGCAATATAGCTCCAAATCAAACTTCATCCTTACCTCGTCTTCAGAAAATAAACTGGGTCTAATTCTGTGTTTAGATGAACTGCTATAAACTTGTCCTGACCCTTTTGAAAAATGTGTCTTGGCTGAAGATGTGAAGGGTTCTTGAGAGGTGTATCTAAAAAGGAAAGTAGAATTGTAATACAATCAAAGTTCCAAGTGCAAACATCTCTGGTGAGCAACTACCACCCATAAGTGACCACCTATTCAAAACACTAAACTTTTCCCAAACAAAGCCTTTCAGTTGGAACCCTTTTGTAAGCAACCACCTCTTGTAAGTGCCGCAACCACTTTTCAGGGCCGATGATTTAATTATTTTCCAGTGTTCTCAAAAACTTGTAAGGGACCACCTGACGAAAGGCCTGATCTCTGTGTTCGCATTCAGTTCTGTCTGCTACTTACAACTGCACGTAGAGTAAATGTTACAGGTCAAAATTAAATTCAGGTTAAATATTTTTAACCTAGGTTGATTCTCGATTTCTTTTGTCTCCTAGCCCTAATTATTCACGAATCAAAGCTAGGAGACAAGGGAAATGGAGAATCAACCGAGGTTGAAAAATTTTAATCTGAATTTAATTTTGACGCGTAACATATAAATACATGTATGAAGAACTTTTAACCACAAAAAGCATTCTACTGTAAGTTATGATAACTGTAGTTCCATGTTGTTTTTAAAAGTTCTTTGAATACTTGACATGTGAGTGCTATCTACCATAAAGTTGATGTGTGTGGATATCTTCCCGAAAAAAGCCCCTCTACCTTTCAATTTTTGTAATTGACCAACTTCTGTGCCACACCACTGCAGCTGTACATGTAAGTCTTCATATTTTGTGGTCCCTTACCAGAGGTTTGACTGCATTATCAATTGCTACTATTGCTTGGATGTTTAAAGGTCTAGTTTTGCAAAAGAGAAATAAACCAAATTTGATTTTCTGTGTGTCGAACCTTACTTCTGTCATTAGTTTTAGATATACAACTGCTTAGGTAAAAGTGTTTGTAACTATACATTCATAATGAGTTGCTAAAATCTTCTCTTTCAAATTACAGCCCATTCCCCAGGGTTGTCACTAAGATTTCAAGTTGCAGGGTGAATACAACAAGTAGGCGGGGAATCAAACAGCTAGGGATTTCTTTTGGTTCTATTTTTGTTCGATTTTCCAATAAAAGTAGCCGGGGACCACTCTCTTAGTAGCCGGGGAAAATCGCCGGCCCCCGGCTCTTAATGACAACCCTGATTCCCTACTGTAGTAACAAAACTTACATTGCTAGACCAGTGGAGAAGTCTTCTGTTGCCCTGTAATGAACTGTTACAGAGCAACTAACATCTGCATCAAAAACAAATTCTACAGAATAGCTCTCTTCATCTATGTTTCTGTAAAGAGAAGATAAAAAAACACTCTATTGTCAGTCTCCCATGCAAGGAAAGGACAATGTGAAACCTTAATAACAGCAAATAAACTCTAAATACATTGCATGCCACTTAACGATATTGATGCAAGACTTATTTTGTTTTCAAACTCTAAAACAATATTATTTACATTGATTTATCTGTTCCCTATGGTAAATTAACACATGCAAACTTTTCAAAATGAAGTACACCTCTTGAGTTCAATGTACCTGATGCAAAGGATCAGGTGAAAAAAGGTGGTGACTGACTCTTGACCTTGTTTAAAATAAATTTAAAATTCCCTTGCCTTACAAGAGAACTAAAGGAATAAGAAAGAAAACCTAGCAGGTACATGTACAAGTATCAAAAATCCCTTTGATCCTTTTTTTTTCATGAAGCCCTACAACTGTCCAAGGATTTAAAAGTTGACATTAGGAGGCACTAATGTTTCATCAAAGTACTGTGGAGTTAGCAAGGTAAGCATTGGATTGGAAACCTGGTTTTGAATTTTTTTCAACATTCAGGGCAACATCATTCACCAAGTCAACTCAGTTGGAAGGTAACCTCATTTTTACAACCACAGAAGGACTTGCATGTATATCACTAACATGCACTTAAGAAACTTAAGATCTTAAGGGTACTTACTTAACCAGTTTAAGTGAATCTTTTCTTAAGTTCACAAGACTTCTTAGGGTCTTTGTTGGCTCATTACCAGGAGGCTGTGGATATGGAAACTGCAAAAAAGGAAGGACCCACCATAATTAATTCCCATATTATCTTATGCTCAATAATTATTGGTAAAAAAAAAAAACTAGTCAAGTCACCTAAAATTATCTCGCCCAAAACCAGAGTTAAAAATTTTTCAGGTGTATAGGTTAAAATATAATGGAGTAAAATAAAGTAGAATAAAGCATTATGTGTAATGTATCTCGCTCTTTAAGCCATGATGCAATGATCCAAGTGCCATAAATGTGTAATTAGGTAACATTCATCTTGTTCTTTAACCTCAATAAGGCGAAAAAAATGCCAGAAATGAGTAATATATAGATTTACGTCTCTAAGGATATAAATCATAGAGCACAATAAAATTTTGGACAATGTAACTCATCATTTGGGCAACTTGACCCTAGTTTCGGGCAATATACATGTATTAAACTTTGGGCAAGATGACTTTTAGGAAACATGACTTTAAATCGCTAATTTACATGACCTTCTAAAATGAGTAATATGCATAATGTTAATATATGTAATGGCCAGTGCGAAGTAAGGCCTACACCTGCAATAGAGTTGGAGATATAAACAGAAACTTCTGCAGAGTGTTACTGTATAATCTAGAAACAGTCCAATGCAGTCATAACCATGGTTTCCTATTATGCTAAAATACCTCCATCACTTATACTCTTTTAAAAACTACAAAAAGCAAAAGAACTAACAACAACATTATGATCATCATAATATATGAAATTCATATGATCATAATTTCATTACGACCATCATCATCATTTGCGTGACATGCAGAATAAACAAAGTAAGAATGCAAACACTTTGTATTCCATAACGAACAATTACAACTGAAGGAAATTATAGTTTCACTCTTTATACCTGAAACCGATTTTATAACCAGATCATTTTGAATGCATGAAGATTCTGATAAAAGTTAAGCTTAAATAATAATCAACTGAAAAAATATGTAAGCTTAAGACGCTTCCCAGACTTTCATCATGCACGTTACAACTCACATTACGTATTTGAAACTTTATGATTCATTAAGTTCAGTAGATATTAGGTAAGAGTCTCTGAAGTACAGGGATTGTGTTTAAAAGAACTTAATGTAAATTTTGTATCAGCATAAGGTAGTAAACTTTTGCTAACTATGATACCCTTAACAACAATTACAAGCTCTTACCGAAACTGGTTTCGGGTTTAGAAGGTTCAAATCATTGTTTTCTCCGAAAAGGTATGCTTCAGGTTGTGGGCTGTCGAACTTAGATCCACCCATAAGAAAATAATCAGCAAAGTAGTTCTTTCCTGTATATAAAATGTTGTGGTTAGGATCATTTTCTAATGTCAATAAACGCTTTATACAAATCATCCAAAAATGGCGTTCCCATATCATGCGAGAAAATGGCGCTCGCTTACCTGAAGGAGGAGGATATCGGTAGGGATTTGAACTAAAGTCGAGATCCTCGACTCCCTCATTCTGTCTGCTGAACCGATTACCCATTCTGAGAGGGGCCGGATAAAAGATTAGCTGGAAATCGAAAAATACATAGACTACATTTTCTTCCTCTTGTTTCTTGACATCATTCCACAGTAGCGGATTTACATCTTTACATAAAAGGAATATCGGATGTGACGTCAAAGCATTCCGTTTTGATTGCGGGCTCGTTTTTCTTAGGTTGCCAAGGAAACATAGTTCAATCTTGTTTTTGAGAGAAGAAATATGGCGGACAGACCTGAAGAAAACGGGCTGAGCGATACAGAAGGAAAAGAAGGCACAGAGAGACCGCAATCGGGAAGATCGAAAGGCTCAGCCGAATCGAGAAAGTCCATTCAAGATGCAGTTAGCAAGTTGACTGTTAAAGCTCTGAAAGAATTTCGTTTGAGTGATCCGAGTGATGTGGATACCGTTGCGACCGGTGCAGAAAGTGAAGGCCTTGTTCCCACTGCAACTTTAACCCAAGAGATTCCAACGTTTGATCCTAGAGGACTACCAGGGGCGCAGACGCTGCTCTCTGAAGGAATTAGTGGTGATGATACAAGAGAGGATGAGATCGTAGCTGAAATTGATGGCGGAGACGATGAAGACCTATCTGATGAAGAATATGGTTCCGAGGGTGAAAATGATATGGTGGTTCTTGATCCAGACCATGTGAGTAAACGTATATTTTATGTCAGTGAAACAGTTTTCAAATCCGTAACATTTGCTGTAGAGTTTCAAAGGATCAAAAAATGAGAAAAGCACGAATTGCAAAGAACCACAGTTGCACTGAAGTGAAGCCACTAACTGTATGTAAGCTTATGCATAACTGTCAAACCAATCATCAACATCTCCCACCGAATCTGTCTGTTTATTAAATACAGTGTACATGTACAAGTTGTGGCTTAATTATTTGAATAGGCAAAGAGATAAAAAATCAATTGGTTTAAATTGTCCAAACTGAAAAAATAAAATAAGCTCCAGGGCTTGAAATAACTATTGGGCAGGCGCCGGACACATTGTCCGGTCAAACGTGATTTTGCTCGGACATAGGCATTTTTGGCCGGACAAATTTAATCCATCTTAACTAGTTGCAATAGAGGCTCCATTTTGCAAGTTACATGATCTGTATCATTTTCAGCAACAGCAACTCTAGTTACTCAAAACAAATCGAGTGTGCAAAAAATTAGAAGTTGTAGTTTTATTACTCTTTGTTCTGTTACATTGTAAGTCAGACACGTGGATTGCAAGACACAACCTCATCGTTAACGTTTGGTTGAAACCTGACCAAATCACTAACAAAACGTAACCTTCAACTTTATAGTACAACATTTACATTTTAGCAAATGCTGCTTTGTTTCTACAAATATTTTCAAACGGGCAAATAAACTTGTGAAATCGTTTGGTTCAATAAATCAATCTCTCAATTAACACGATAATAAATGCTATTAAACGGAAAGTAAATTAATATACAACTGATCACACCAGAAAATGTTAAGACTTTAACTTAACTAATCACTATCAGTAACTTGCAACGGGGGTTACGTTCTCACTACTCAAGATCTTCAAGCTCCTTAATTAACTCGTTTTCTTCGTTGTCGTCAGTGTCATAACTCTCTTCTGGTGAAGAATCATCTTGTTCGATCAACACTTTCGGCCTTTTTGCAGAATCTCTTGAATTGTACTGCTTCCTTGCTCTCTGGTTCGCGCCGCGGTTAGCACTGCTTGCCCACAATTGCGGTCGCGACTGACAACAGGAAATGTCATCAATTTCACAAACAAAAGTCCCTCTAGTTAATATCTTTTTTGGGAACATGATAAGATTGAATAAATTTCCATCATGATTGTCTCAAAATTGAATTTTCTTTGAAAGCCCAAATGACCGGACAACATGTCCGGTCATCCACGGATTTGCTCGGACAATGCTCGATTCTGACCGGACATTGTCCGTTGACCAGCCGTTATTTCAAGCCCTGAGCTCACAGTTATAATGAAAATTGTCTTTTTGGATAATTCCCGTTTTTTTTTTCAAATTGAGAAAATCCTGTTATTTCGTCACACCTTCACCTTTTGAATTACTTAATCTGAGGCTAGGCAAATTCTTATTGACTTGTATGTGTTTTTCTTCTTACAGCCTCTTATGGTCAGATTTCAAGCAGCATACAAAGCACATTTACTCAAGCAACAGGAAAAAGTTAATTTAGAGCTCCGAGAACTGGTGAGTAGAAATTAGGTTACCTGCAAAGGATGCCAGGACGTTGCAGTGTTTTTATGACTGAGAGGCTCTATGGCTCTCAAAAGAGTTGATACCAGGTGCAGAAGGGTTCATTGCCAGACTCACCCAGATCTTTCTTGAAAATTCATGATTTTGGGGGAAGAAAATTAAAAAGTGCAGATGCAAGGAAACTCACAAAAACAAGAGGTGGAGATTCATTGCACACAGCTCAGAGATTTGAAGATCATAATGAAACGATTCCAAAGCTTACAAGCTATCACACTATAGCATGCCTTAGCTACCATATACATGTAAATGAGAATTTGTTACTTTGTTGATACCTACAAAATGATGGAACTTGAATATGGAGTACAGTTTTACTAGTTAAGAATGCTTTGATTGTTTTTTCTTGCAATGCAGACTGAAGATCTCAAAACCAAGAAGCGTGAGCGGGAAGAGCTTGGTGTGCAGCTGTATGGAGTTCAACAGGAGCTTGCAAGACAGCAAATGCTTCTTGAGAAAGAACATGATAACTTTAATTCAGAAAATCATCTTAGGATGCAAAGTGAAAAGCTTCTTGAAGAAACAAGAGCACTGCATGATAAAACTACCGAAGATCTCAAACATCAGCGAAAACAAGGTACTCATGGATGCACGAAAATAGTTACAGATAAAGTTCTCTTGGAGGCCACTCTCATTTTGCAGATACAACTTACTTGAAATCCATGGTCTTACTCGTATTTGATTTTGTACTCTCATCATCATGTTTATCTCAGTTGGGAGTGGCACGAAGTAAGGAAAGCAAGGAAAAATAGAGGTGGGGACTGGGGAGAGTGGTGAGGGAACTGAACTCTCTCCTCTGTCCCTCTCCCTTGCTTTTATTTTTCTTGCCCTTTTACTTTGTGCCACTCCCACCTGAACTCCTGGACCAGGCTAATATCTACAGGGTTAATAAGTATCCTTGTATATGTTATTATAGACATTTCTTCTTGTTGTCGTAGGTAAAGGTTACTATGCACAGTTAAATGACAGGTGTGGCTAATAATCATTGTACCTACCATGTGGGAAATTGTGGATCTCAGAAATTTTTTATTCAATCTCTGAAGTTTTTTTGGTTATTCTCAAAATGTCAGTTTTACCTTTAACTCTTTTGGGTTTTTGGACATTGTTCTGCAAGGTCTCAGATTTTTGAGCAGGGTTTTGTTGTCTGTGAGTCTCAGAATGCTTGAGACCTTTCACTGTATATCCGTAAACTAGACTTAAAATTGATACAGATAATGCAGGGGTTCTTATGAGTTTTGTCCAGCATCCTGCTTGTGTGTTTTCTCCAGCTAAAGAGCTCAGAACAGAAGTGGAAAACCTAGCAGCTAGATTGCATTACATGGAGGAAGCTAAAGAGGATGTTAGGGCAGACATTGCTGTTATGAGAAGGGCAGCAGAGAAAGCAGACACTGAAGTGACTAGAGCAGAAATGGAGAAAAAGAAACAGGTTGGCGAAAAATAGTAGAAATTTGTACAAAAATCTGCATAGTTGTTGTAATGATATCTCATTGTGTTGTTTTGTTTTTGTGCTATAGTTGACACATTCCTTGTGAAGGTTAGCACCGTACCTTTCCCAACATTTTGCATTTTAGACACTGTATTAAATTTACACCCTTGAAGCATTGGCCTGGGGATGTCCCAAACAGCTGGTTTCCGGCTAATTTAACCATCTGAAGAAGACATTACCACCGGCTCAAATTACTCTGGAAAACAATATCAGGGGTTATTTTGAAGGTGCAGTTGAATCAAAAAGCCGGCACAGTTGAATCAAAAATCCAGCTTGCTGCTTGACTATTATAGAAAAGCCTGCTCAGGTTTTAAAGCTACATCCCTGTGATGGTGAAAAACTGAATTCTCTTAGTCTACCTCCTATCCTTCAAAAGTAGTTTGATCTAACTATCATAAAATCTTTTCTAAAGAAAAATCTGTAAATTCCATCATAGTTAGTAGAGAGGGGCTGTCTACTCAATATGATTCCATTACAGCCTCTGATCCTGGGCTACTGCAGTTGTGTCACTTACAATACAAAGTAAATACCTCATGTTACAGTATTTATTTATAACTTTACAATATTTTCCTCTCAGGTGAAAAAAATCATGTTCGATTATTTTACAGGATCTTCTGGTGGACAGGTTGACACAAACTGTTGATCGACTGAGAGAAGAGATTGATATGTTCGAGACCCAGGCTGTTGCTCAGCTGGAGGAAACTAAAGCTGCTCAAAAAGCTCTCTCAGAAGCAACCACAGAAATAGAGGTACATGTAGGAAAAAATACTTAAACTTTGTTGTACACTACCAAAACTCATGAATAATTATTTTTCCTGAATGAGCAACTATTTTGCAATTCTAGAAAAGAACGGCAAATTTATGATCCAGTTCCTTCCCGAAGTATTTTAACACTATAAAAATTTAACAGAATGAATTTATCCACAGCGATCTACAGCGGGTTGTTGGAAAGTGATTGATGAACTTCAAAATCCCTAATTTATCAAGTGTTAAAACCATTAGGTACAATCAGAAACCCAACATGTCTCATTTTAAACTTGCTAAAACACTCAAGCAATTTTAATGAACCAATAACCCTTTAAGTCTTAATATCCACATAAATTCTCCATACTGATCTTTGTACATTTAGTTTCCTTAAAGAATTAGCTGAGAAAGTTTGATAACAGATCAAAGCATTTTCTCTCTAGTGATCATTGTGTTAACTCTCATAACCATTTTTCTTGCCAACATATGGATATTGTTAGGAGACAATTGTCGTTGGTCACTATTGGGACTTAAAGGGTTAATACTTGCAATGTGTTCGCTGCTAGCGGAGGTCTCTCTTGACGTGAGAGACCTCTGATAGTAGGGAAAGAAATGTGTAAAATGCAGTTGACAAAAATTTCCAGTCTTCATCATTCCTCAGACTGGAATAGAACTGAAGGATTTTACCCCTGTTGACTTTTAGTTTCGACCAAAATCTCCTAAGTTGTGGCCAATCTTGAGGACTTCAAGACTTACTTCTCATGAATCTGTTTAGGCTCTTCAACTGGAGAAGAAGCAGTTGACTCAGCAATGGTACAGTAGCTTGATTGGGATGAGAAGACGTGATGAAGCATTTGCTGCTATGCAGGAAGCACTGAGGTGAGGCATTGCCATGCACCTCCTGTTTGGTACTTACAGTGTCTACAGAGAGACTAGAGTCATTTATAATTCATAGTGCCATGGCAATCACTTAATCATGTGCAGCTGAAGATATACCAAAAAATGGAAAAGACAGTTCCCCCATAACATTTTTTCAATTCAAAGAAATTCCCTGATTTTCTCAACTAGTTACCTTAGGGCACTTTCTATAGTAAACACTCATCATATATATCAGTCATATCAGGTCTTTGTTTGTAATAACATTCACACACAAACTCCCAATGAAAGGGATCAAATTTTAAGCAGGTTCAAATAACCTTTTACTTGAGCTTTCCCCTTAGAAATTGGGAGGGGCAGGAATAGACCCTGGCTTAGGTTATCACAAGTCCTGGCGTAAATATTAGGCTGATTAGCAACAGAACGGGAACATCAGTTGACGACGGCGCGCGTAAATCAAACAGCTGGCTTGACCGATGGCAGAGTGGCAAATTGAGCACCGGAAGTCGTGTTTAGTCCTTTCTGCGCGCTTTACTGTCGTCAACTGACGTTTCCGTCCCGTTGCTAAATCAGCCTATTCCTAATAATCTATTCCAATTTACGCTACCAGCTGGTTTAACGCAAACAACAGTGAGTAACACATTTGACAGTTTAGCGGAAATAAAAAATAAAAATATTGAGAACTATGTTTACACTGTCATGTGTGCTGTTCCTTAAATGGGGAAGTCAAAGTGAGGTCAATTGCTTCAGATAAACCTTAACTGACATGCTTGTGATATTATAATCAGCGGGAACGTCTTACAGGTTGTACAAATTTCAGGCCTTTGTGTCCACGGCCAGTTGATTTAAAGACTTGAATTGAACTTAATTTTAGCAAAATTGTTCAGCGCAATGTTTTCTAGAATATGGGTACATTTAGCATACACCTCGGACTGTTAATAAATTTCTAAAACCGTTAACTTTCAGTCTACAAAGGCAGAGAATCCAGGCCATAGAGACAGAGATTGAAGGATACCGAAAGTCAATCAGCAAAGCACAGGAACAAAATGAACAGATCACGCTAATGCATAACAAGATTGAGGCCGACATCTCAATGGTGAAGAAACTGATCGCTGTCAGCCGAAATAAGCAGGAAGTGCTCAAGACTGAGTACAGCAAGTATTCAAGGACATTGCATGAAACGGAACAGCAGCTAAACAGAGCAGAAACTGTAAGAGTGATATGTGACATTTGCATACGAGTTTTATGGTACTGTCATGTGCAATTTAATTCAACTTACATGTAGCATAAGATTATTTTCAATCATGGAATTCACCATAGAATTGGAAGGGTTTTGCTGGAAATATCAGGGGAGGTACAGAAGCTTCAACCCCTTTCGTTTTTCACCTCTCTTCCCTCCTCCCACTTCAACCAGCACTTTTCGTGAAGCCGTCTTTACTCGCCTAAAAGTTGCCGAGGAGAAACCGGCAAACCTTTCTCTTCCCGTTCTAATTTTGCGCGAAGTAGCTACGCTTGATGTTGTTCAAGAGTACAAGAAATTTGGGTCGACTCCTCCGCGTTTTCGAGAAGTCGGGATGATTCTATCTTTTGCAGCTAGTCCCTGTCCCACTCGAGCTTGAAATCTGCTTTGCGAAAATGTTAAAAACGGCATGAATGGCTTTAGCCGGAATTGAGAGTTTCCTATCAACCAGTTAGTCACGTGACTTATTTTGAAATTTGTATTGCCTCATACCAGGAAGTGACGCTAAAGGACAATGAGATCACAGCCCTGAGAAAACAGACTGAGCGGGAATTTCTGGAGAAGATTAAAATTGAGGATAATATCATGGAAAAAATGAGAAGTCAGTTGACTCTGGACAAGGCTGCACAGTATACCAAGAAAATGACAGACAGGCTGAGAAAACGAGCTACAGAATTGGTATGTGTTAATAAGCGTCTTAACCTTGTATGTTTTGTGAATGAATTATTCCTGTTTTTTGGGCGATAAAAGTGGTGCACTTCGACTTGATGAAAAGTAACATGGCGGCACTAAACAATGAACGCGTAGTTCAAATCGATTTTATATTCCTGCTGTACTAACATAAGAAAGTTTTCTGTTCCAATCCAGAGTTAAAAATTGTTTTCTATGTTTTTACTGAATTTATTACTTATAATGACTAAGTCTCTGTTTAGTTCCTATTTTTAACGTATCACTCCGCGAATTTCATTCTATTTTACTTTAATATTTCTTTGTGACTGAGGAGCCCAGGCTTCCTAAGCCTTCTGGTTTCTTCTGGGCTCCCTTGCCAACTTACAATTCCTATATGTATTCTTGTATTGTATTATATTTTGGCTAAATAAAAATGAAGTGAAATGAACTTAACTTAACGCCTTACTAAAATTTGAAATCTCGGCAACGTGAAACTGCAAACGCGTAACTGCAAACTGCGGTTTGCGGTTTCCTATGAAAAACCTGAAGCTAAAAGTCTCTAATAAAAAACGTCGACTTAAGGAAAAGTCTGACCACCTTGCCGTCCTTCAGCACTCAGGGTAAACGTTTCGTGTTTGTTTTTCTCAATCGCTAATTTTTATATAGTCCAGTCAATGTTTAGCAGTCTTGTAGCCACACCGTCTGTTTCCCCCTTTTTCTTTTCTAGCCATGAGCAACTTTCAGAATTAAATCTGAGTAGGAGAACATCATTCGGATTAAAATCAGTTTCGTTTTTTCCCACGACTCTTACTTCTTTGCTGTTAGTGTTGCTGAGTCGATAAGGAATCTTCAGGACACTATTAGACCCATTGATGTGCTGAATGATCACTAAAGAGTCACGAAGTAGACCTGAAAACTCGTAATCGTAGTCAGTGTCGTAATTAAATCTGAAGACCTCTTAACCAAACGATTGAACAGGCTCTAGCAGGGGCGGATAGTGAGGGGTGATGGGACGAGCGGCCCTTTCTAATTAACACTGTGCAGGCTTGACAGACATTCAAAATCTGCTCTATCGTTTGATATTTTATCCCATTTGTCTTTTAAAATTTTTTACAGGAAAGTTCAGTGGCTGAGGTCGAGAACGAGATTTCCAGAGACATTCTGGACATCTCCAACACCACAACTCGTGTTCGCCAGTTGCAGGATATAATGGACAATTTAAATGAAGAGATTCATCAAAAGAATGCGACCATTTCCAAGATAGAAGGGGAAATCGTGAAGAGGAACGCCATTATTGAAAGAAAACAAAGCACAATTGACCAGTACAATAAACGGATTGACCAAATGAGGAACAATAGTGGGGTACGTGGCTAATTTGTGTGCTACTGCTGGACAATATACCTACTTGGATTTGTTTGAGTTTTTGTAAAGTTCAATGGCTTATTTTTTTTCCTCTCTTCTTTATCAGGGAGAAGAAATCGGGCCACTGGAGCTACAAATTCATACTTTGCAGAAACAAATTGAGGCCCGTTTAAATGAAATTACTGAACTACAGCAGTTCTGGCTAAGAAATCAAAGCGAACTGGTAAAAACCTTAAAAGATGTACAGAAACAATCAGAAGACATGGAATATCTCAAGAAACAATACACTATCCTTCTACAAAAGAAGTTGAGGATTGAAGGTATGGCCGGGGTATAAAACACTGGACAAACTTGGAAAATATATACTGCAATTCGTTTAGAGCGATTTTCGTGAGCCTTGAAAAATAGTTTCGGTAAGTGTTCGGTATTTGATTTATCAGCCATTGGATAAAGAGATCAAACATGGACTCTTCGTTTTTTTGCCAAAGAAAACCATAATATGGAGAAAGCATTGTTCGATTAGCCAGTCGTGTTGCAGTATGAGGTCAAAGCGAAGTATCGATTGATTTCTAGAAAGTTCTCGGGCATGGAGTTTTTTCGCCCGAGCGTTCGCTTAACCAAACAAAGGCCACGCGCGTTTGTATCCGTTCGATAAACCAATCAAATCGCTTTATTTCCGTTTGTTTGTTGTTTCTGTTTTGTTCGCGCGTTTTCATTTCAAGGTCACACGAAAATCGCTCTAACCTTAGAATAAGTACTCGTTCACATGTGGTTGTGAGCTCAAAATCGAACTGGATTTTGTTTGGATACGAAGGAAGAGAATAACCGGAATATCCGGGGAAAAACCGGAAGTAGCAAGATCAAGAAGCAACAACAAATTCAGCCCCTGTTTATATGGGGTAAGTGAGCGCCGCGTCGGCCTCAGGTTTGTTAGTCAGATTACTATTTCGAGCTACCGACGTAAAGTAAGGACTCTTTACACTTACATTTCTTTTTGCAGTCTTCTCGGAAACACTCAACTCGTGTGTTTCCTGTGTTGTGTCTTTTCACGACCACACAATCTCGGGGGTTGTCTGATTGCCCTCTCTTCTGTCTACGTTTCATCGTAGGTGAAATCAACTCGCACAACAGTGAGATGCAAGATATTGAACGAAATATCCGCAGTATGCAGAACGACATGACAAAACTGAACACGCTGATTACCAAAGAGAGTGGGCTAAGAGAAGCTTTACAACAGGGGACCGTCTTGATGGAGAGCGACTTCATCCAGGCGCTCAAAGTAAGTGATTAATTATCTACGACGCTGTTTTACTTGTGCTTTTTCCACTCGAGGCGCTGGACATCCACGAGCTTTGGTTAGGGGTTGTAAGTTGTCCACCCTTAGAATTTGGGAAAGTATCTTGCTTAAGAAATCGAGGTGAAGAGGAGAACTTCTACGTAGGTGGTGCGGCAAAACCATTTGACTGGATCAATCTCGCACAAATTTTTCTCCAACCCTCTTCACCTAATTTTTTTTTTTTGGTTCAGGTTGTTTGTGTAGGAAGGACTTGAAATTGAAAACATTACCCCAATTTGTCAAGCTGCAATCCCTTTTGCTCGAAATCCAAGGGAATAACACTTTATTTGTAGATCTGCTGAAGCCAAAACAGATTCCCTTTATATTATTGTCTGTTTTAATCTGTATGACAGGAGGCCGAAAGAGAGTCTATAGACATGCAGAATCAGATCGACGCGCTCAAGGAGGAGAAAGAAAGGCTGCTCAACAGCTTAGTGGAAGCAGAGTAAGTGACTTAGTTCACAGAGCGAACTCTTAAATGCAGGGTTAAGTTAAGTGGCAAAAAATGAAGCTTCTTTCTGGTCTCATCCGCGGTGTGAGAACCTGTAACCATCATGAGTGACATAAAACAATGAAAACAAAAGAAGTCAACGCGATGGAGCTGAGGAAAATAAAAGGTACAAAACAAAGAAAAACTTCTTAAGTCATTATACCGAGGTAAACCCGAATTTTGACAGCAAAGCGAGAACCGTTTGTAATCCATGGCGGTAGCCGAAGAGTTTCGACTGTTGTTGCTTGATTGTTGCTAGCATAAATCATCTGGACGACAAATAGCCGGGCTTAAGTCATAGCTGGCGCAGCCGTACCCTTAAGAAACACTCTTTCAAAAGTTAAAATATTCTTCAAAATATATTTTTTCAACGGTACTTTTTTGCTGTCTTCAGGCGTCAGATCATGTTGTGGGAGAAGAAGACGCAGCTAGCTCGTGAAGCTAAGAACGCTGTTGACCTGGAGTATGGTCAAGGCGAAATCAGAGCCATGAAAGCAGAGATACACAGAATGCAGGTCAGAAAACTTTCCTTTGTTTAAGAATTATAAACACTCTATTTTGTCATAGACAGTAATAACGCTGTTATGTCGGAGGCGAAGCCGAGTCATATTAACACGGACACCAAATGAACCAAAATAGCTGGGTGGAACAACTGCTAACATGGTGTGTTAACGATGCAACATTGTTTAACCAATATGGTTCTGAGTAATCTTACCTAACACCGCCGTCCGACTTCCCTTACGCAGCTTTTGAAATTTTTATCTGTAAAGAAACTCTACTAGTTGTCCTGTTCGTCAGCTTTTCGGCACTATCAAATGAAAGTCATTAATGAAAAGAAAAGAAAGTACGGCCAGTGCAAGTGAATTAAGTTTGACTTCTCGTTACGTACCCAAGGAAGATCAATTGAGACACCGACAGTAGAACTGAATGTATCTGTTTGGTTTGTGTATCAGTTGATATGACGTCACAGTAGGCTGAAAGACTGCACGAGACGTTCGCGGGCGCGCGCACCCAGTTGCGTCAGAAAGGCTAAGTTGTGTTGCAGTCGGTCAACTTTTTTGCGTCTCTACGTATGGCTTTTTTTCTTTACAGTTCTGTTCAAATGCAACAATTAATTTTTTAACTGGTAGTCTTCCTGTGAAAAGAAATATAAACCAGATTATTCAAAAATGTAATTCACGACAGTTGGAGAAGTGGCAACCCATTTGTAGTTAGGCCCAAAATAGTTTAAAACTGTAAGTGCTTTTTTTTCACCCGTTCCTACGGATCCGGTGCTATTACAAATACCTTTCCTCATATTTTATCCACCGCAGAAGGTGTTTCCCAGCCTTTTTTTAACATCGATAGTGGCGCAAATTCTGAGCCTTAACGTTTTTGTAGGTATGTTAACGAATTCAAATATAATTTCCCAAACAGTTTACGGTGCCTCGTATTTGTCAAATAACTGTCTCCTTCTCCGAACTATGTACCGTGAATATTTGTGTCCATAAAATTATAATATAACCCACATAGGAAGGAAACTGAGACAGTCATTTACTTGAACAATTGATCTCAAGTCCGCACTTGTCTTTAAGACCAGCTGCTAACGATTTCTAATTTGTTTCTAGGTTCGTTACTCGCAGCTGATGAGGCAGCAGGAGAAGATGATTCAGGATATGGAAAAGTCTGTTGTGCGAAGAGAAGTCATCATTACACGGTAACTACACACTGCGCAGCGGTCCGACTTTATCTTAGTGCCGTTTTCTATTCAGTATCGAAAGTAAAAAATTTAATTTTGCTTTTGCATAAGCAGAAGCGAAAGCAATAGCCTGTGAACAGCAAAGCAGCAGTGAGGCTGATGTGCATGTGTACCGGCTTTCGGGCCGGTTAGAATAGCCCACGTTCGATATATTAAAATTCTAACATGACTCCGAGAAGGGTCAAAATTGCAAATGTTTCACGACTCCATATACCCGCAATTCCCAGAAGAGACTTGGGCACAAAGAAAACCAAACCAAATATAGAAAAATGACCAGAAAGCCTCGGAGGCATGTTAATACATTGAACGTGGGCTATTTGTCTGATTTGTTACGTACCCGCGCGCATTTTCCCGCGCGAGGAGTCGGTTACACGTGTTTTGATCTGATTGACGCATTGGATGGCGGCCTTTGTTGCGATTGGCCACAGTAATGGACCTTTGTAGCTTGTTAATTTGGCTGCTATTTCAGACCACGTTATGGTACCCCAGAGGACTGTTTCTTTTAAATCTCGTCCTGCATCCACGTGCATATGTATGCGTAATTTATGAAACTACAAAAGGCAAATTCCCTGAAGGACATCACGGGGTCTGAGTTGGTGAAACAAAACATACAAGCTAAGAAGGTCTATTGCTTTGGTTTGGGTTTATTACGTACACATAACTGATCTGATTAAACTAAATTAAAACAAACAAGCAAGCAAATAGAAGCAGAAGACAAAACGAAACAACCACCATGGTGTCAAATCGAAATACTAATTTGAACGCAACCCATCTATAGACTGGTGGAGAGAACGAGCAGATTTAGGGCACAAAGTCAGAAGTGTGCAGCCGGACCGATCATTTTGAAAATGAACTAGGCTTTCAGTGAGAGTTTTTGCTAAAATCTTGTCATTGTGATGCGTGCTATTCAGGATACACTGACCTCGCTGGACAGTGTTCATTAAAAGTAAAATTTTCTTTCAACTGGACGGGTCTGACCGGCCAATTCTGACTCATTTTATGCGCTCTTTAATTCGGCCACGAGTAAGGCAAAAGGTACAACCGGCTGACATGCACGAGAAGAATAGTGTTCTGATTATTTCTAATGTGTTTCTTAACTGCTGTTTTTCTTAGTGGAGATGCTCAAGCTAAGATGGGTAAGGTGACAAACACCAAAGGTACGTTCCAGAAGAAACTAGCTGAGATGAAAAAGAAAATCAAGCAGACAAACCAAGATGCAAACGCCTGTGACACTGGTAAGCTGTTTATTTTTGGTTTGGTTCTTCCGGCTGATAAGCCAGAGGATGCGAGTTTGGAGTTAGGGGTGGAGAGGGGGTTTATTTTGTAGTCGAAAGGCGCGATTTATTTTTAACGATTGCAATGGTGAGCTTTTCACAAGTGAAGATATCTTTTCAGGCGAAAAAAAATTGGTGCTATATTACAAGCATCTTTCATGACTTGCAACGAGTCTTCCTATCACTCAATAGCTAGATGGTGTGCCTTTAAAACTGACATGTTAGGGTCCAACTCCCGTAAAGGCAAAATGAGGAGTATGTTGTGTACCCCTTTAATCCCTAGTTCCTTGTAGTTCCTGTGCGTTTCTCAAAGACGAGCAAGGAGGCTAGTGTATTAGCACAAGGAAGAAGAAATCGCCAGGATAACAATCGCCTTCTTTCTTTCTTCATGGAATTTAAAATTTTGAACAAAAAAGATTGCTTGTGGGAGTATTAGCTGCTTAAAAAAGCTGTTACATTGTTTAATGTAGATATTCAAGTGCTCCGTGAAAAACAGATGTCAGTGAGCCGCGAGTTAGAAGAAAAACAGACGACGTGCCAGCAACTACAGACCAGTGCTGATGAGTTGGAGGTGCAAATAGACACACTATCGGAGGAGAGGCAGAGGGTGAGTTTCCAACACCTGAATTACAACTCCTACCCCCTAGTGAAAGATTGTGTCATATCTTGGTCATCGTCCTTTGCAAGGAATCTGTGCGGGTGGAGATGGGAAAGGGTGTTCTCGACGTTTCTCGGCCGACATTTCATGGCGCCACCACTGGTTCCCCCGCGAAATGACGTCTGAGAAATTAGGGCAGATATTCCATACTGATGACGTATCACTTGCCAGATCTGGGTAGTGCTTCTGATTGGTCGTGCCGCGTGGGATATTGGCTTCAACCAATCAGACGCACTACCCAGATCTGGTTAGTGACACGTCATCAGTATGGACTTTCTGCGCTCATTTCTCAGACGTCATTGCGCGGGGAAGCCAGTGGTGGCGTCGTGAAATGTCGGCTGTTTTCTCAGGTTACCCCAGCCTCCTTGTGACACAAAGAGGCCTCTGCAGAGAAGAGGCCTACATTTGAGAAAGTGACCACTATTCTTCGCTTATTGGGTTTTGGGAGGTACGACTGTGCCTTGGTAGAGTGAACTCAAACTCATTCCCTGCTATCATAGATGTTAAAATCAACTGGAAGTTAACTGTGTTTGGGATATATATGCATCATTTTGCACTGTTTGCATTATGAATTTGTGCTACAGAAGTTTTCGTCGTGTGAGACGTTTATGTCGTCTTGAGACGACTTAAACGTCTAGGATAAAAACGGTAAATAAGACAGACGCATTTAGCGTCTGACGGCATTGACGTCTTCTGTTAAGTTGCGTCTTTCAGACGCACTTAATAGACGACTTGAAGGTCTCAGACGTTAAGTGCGTCTAGTATAAAAACAGGATACCGTAAATTGGGACTCGTTTATACCCAACTCGTCCAGAGATGACTGGGAAGAGTCAGAATCGTGTATTTTTGTTTTTTACGAAAAAAGTCTGTTTTTTTTAGTGTTATCGTCTACTTTTCCGCGTCCCGTTTTTACACCAGTCTTTAACGTGTCAGACGTTAAATACGTGTAGATAACTTTAATGTCTCTAGCATAAAAACGGCCGATCGCATTGCGTGTGATAGTTTTCAGCAAAATGTTAGTTATACCTAATGACACCTTCTATTCACTCGTCAGAATCTGGCCGATATCGTGGCTAAACAACAGAAGCTGAAATATTACACTCAGTTAAAGAATGGACGCTACACACCGCTGTGCAAAACACCAGAGACACTAGAGAACGAGCTCCAGAAACAGCGGGCTCGCCTCCAGTCCCTCATGACCATCGTGGATCGCTTGAATCAGGAGTTTCCTCAAGCTCAGCCGGCATTGCGCAAAATCACACTCTCCCTGGGATACAGAGGATTACCTGAAGAAGCTGCAGCGTAGTTTGTACCTACTCCTCCCATAGGAAAATAAGTTTATTTCGAGAATAGTTTATAAGTAATTCGAATTTTGTTCTTGATGCTCAGCGAACAGATTATTCTCATATTTGCCTTTTCGTTAATGGCACGGTGGTATTGTATTTAATTTCTTGAATGTAAATAGTGAACGCATGTCAAAAGTAAACTTGAGAATTTGTAAATTCACCATGATCAAATAAAAAGCTTTGAATTCATTCCCTAGCCGACTCATTTTTGTTCAGTACTAGGTATTTCTGTCCATCAGTGGTTTATGAATTTGGCCTCATTTGAAACTGACAGCTTTTGGAAGTCGGAAGTAAGCCACCGGAACCACCTCGGCTGGAGGGGCTGAGATTATATGATGGACAGTTCACGACGTTTCATACTGCGGGATAATGCTTCCGCTCCAAGAATCCCGATTCCCTTGTTTGTTTGGTACACTGCGTCAAAAGAAATAAATAGGGCTTCGTCCTCGTACCTACCTCCAATCCTAGAGCAGACCCTAAGAACGTGCGTATGAGAGGCTATTCACTGTTTTAGGACGGAACAAGTCGGTGCTCAACATGCAACCTAGTTCCCAAGATTCTCTCCTACCCGGAGCGAACGTTCAACCTCATCCCCAGGGTCTTCTCGCTTTCCAATATTGGAAAGCGAGGAGACCTTGGGAACGAGGTTGGTGAACGTTTGACCTGGCTAGGGCAAGCACGTGAAGACACTTTCCGTTCTCCCCTGCGGTCATTGGCGACAAATTTCTCACCAATCTGCCCCTCCCTCGAATCGTTTGTTTGTCATCACCCAGATTCTTCAAGACAAGGGTCTCTCGAACCTGGGAACGAGGTTGCTGACATGTAACATGGCGTCCCGTTTCGTGACAGGTTTGGAGGACCAATGCGCTGTTTACCGGTAGGTTGAAAGTTATTTTGTCACTGAATTTGCGACAAATCGTAAAAATGCACTCGGCAAGTTCCCTAAAACCTCAAACTAACCTCAAACGTTACTTGTTCACCTTCATTCCTATTCTTTCAAGTGATTTCAGTGATTGGTTAATACTCAAAATTTGGTTGCTTTAATAGCTATACTAATGCCAATACATAAGCTTACATACACACATGATTTATTTGGTAATGAAGGTCAGGAGTTGCAACTTATGAAGCTGATGTGGACATACTTAAAAATTTTAAAACTACTACCAAAAAAAGTTACTTACCAGAAACAGTCTATTTACAATGAAAGGAAAATTCATACTAAAAAGACATACTTAAAATTTTTTAAAACTACCACCAAAAAAGTCACGTACAAAAACAGTCTATTTGCAGTAAAATGAAAATTCATACTAAAAAGAATGATTTATGGACAATACTTGTATTAAAGACAATACTCATCAATATTAAATATATGAAATTTAATGTGATTTAAATTTATATAATTAATTGGATAGCATCATTTGTTTCGGTGGTGACTCTAATGGGTTTGAAGTTCAGTTATTGTGCATCAAGAGACAAACAAGAATTGTCTTGGATTTATTGAACCCAGTGTAAGCTAGACTGCCAAACAGCAGTTTTTGTTTCATCAGTAATGCTGTTGGAGGAGAGGAGGGGGGAGGAGCATTGCATGGCGACACTAACAAACGCTGTTTTGCAGACTAAGGGTAAGGATGAAACCATAATTTATGTCTAATGTTTAATATAATTATTTGATTTACAGTAGAAATGCTGCTGAGCTTAACATTTAGTCAATGTTAAGCCCCAAGGTTGCGGGGCTAGCATATCCATCAGGGAGATTTGACATTTTGGGCCATTTTCATGCAAAAAATACTGATGTCAAATTCCCCTTGTTCTTGAGGTACATTTTGTTTGATTTAAGATGATATAAATTACAATGCATATTTCCTTATCACTTTCAGTCTTTCTTTTCTACCTAGTTATATCCCACCTTTGTACAGATTATACAAATTATTGTTTAGTCTGGGCAACAAATTGATGATTATGATGATGACGATAATGATGGCTAGAACAGAATATATTCATAGACCTGTCAAGGCCACAACAAACATTCATTGCAAGATATGCCAGAATTACAGGTTTAAAATGAGGGGAAAATGGTATGCATGTGATCACAGCCCACAGATAGTTGTGAAAAATGAGGGTGTCACTGTTATATGGTAGATGCAAACACCGTCACAGACCAGTGGTGGATCCAGGGGGGCCAGGCCCCCTTTATTTTTTGGACCAAACTGATGGTCCAAAGGGCTGAAAAATTTTTCTTTTAAGACCAGGCCCCCCCCCCCACCTTATGTCAGGGTCTGGATGACGGGGGACCCCCTTATCGGAAGGTCTGGATCCACCACTGCAGATTGAGGAATTGCTGTTAACAAACCAGACATTGCAATTAACAGTCACATGAACCAGGCTTGTAACCTGATTTAGATTGTAATACTATCAGACATGAATACCTCTCAAAAAAAAAACGGAAAAACTCGCAAAATACAACAATGACCTTTTGGCTGAAGCAAATTTCCCACAGGGCACGACCAATAAGATGTACTACCCAGATCTGGGTAGTGATGCGTATATCAGTATGGAATTTTTGCCCGTGTTTCTCAGACGTCATTTCGCTGTAAAACCACCAGTGGGGTCGCGAAATATAGGCTGTTTTCTCAGTTTAACATATTTTGAGAAGGGTTTTATATAAAATCAACTAGACAGTACCTAGAGACTAAGATTTAGTCTAAGTCTCAATGAAGCTTTAATTAAGCAAAACAATTGCAAATGATGATGATGATGTTCATAATAATAACAATAATGTGTGATACCAGCCAAATATTTAATACACTGAACATAATCTCCATTGCCATTTTGTGCTTCCAATGACATGTTTTGATCTCTGTGATCCTTGTCATCCTGGTTGTTGGAAAGCGGGCCATCGTGTCTCTTTCAAGATAATTAACATAATCTGCATAATGCTGTTGCATCGGTGATGCTGGAAACTTGCGGGGTTAAGCCCATTGTGCAAAAATCCGTAGCAGATGCCAAGATAAAATAAGCCCAGTCTTTTAACTGTAATATCCAAAGCTGAACTGCCCTTATCAGGAGCCGTTTAGTGTAAAACAAACCTTCAACTTAGCGCGCAACTTCAGGCCACGTTCAGACTTAAGATATAGCCCGCACAATAATGTGCGCTTTATTTGCACGCTCTGAAAATGTTAAAGCGAAATCGCCCCAAAGGTTTTTGGGACGGTGGACTGAACACATTCTGAGAACTCTTAGGCGATCCGGACCATTATACGGAAACGGAGCGTTAAGTAACAGATCCAACTTTCCATTGGATAACCCGTTTAGTTGACGCATGCGGGATGATGATAGGAGAGGAAACCGTAAGAATGACAAACAGAATTCTAGTACTGAATTTACACGTAATTCTACTGTTCTCCCAACATCCCAATTGGGTTTACTTATCGCGTTAATTTAAACCAAGAAAGTTCAATCAATTACCTAGGTAACTCAAATTACTTCATGGTATCCTCAACAGGAGAGGCCTTAGTTGTTTTCAATGCACACGAGAAACCTCCCTCCCCCCCCCCCCACCCCCCACCCCCGTTGACTGGAACCATCGCTTCGCAAAAGAGGAAAGTCATACTACTCCCAAATGTTACATGTTACTTAAACTAGAAAGAATTATGAACCACTTGGACACACAAGTTTTATTGCAAGTTAATAGTCCAGTTTCAAGTTCGCTATGACCGCTGCATTAAAGAAGTGATAACGCATTTTTACAGGCTTAGCCTCCATCTGAAGCAATATATTCACAAATTCCAACGAGAAAAAGACCTGGTTATTACTCTGCTATTGTTTGTTTTCACTTGACGTCATGGCGGCCATATTTGTGTCCCAAAACAATGAAACGGCAGCCATGTTTGTGTCCCAAACCAGTCCTGTGGGAGCTGAACTCTTTTCGTATGCAAACGCTTTCTTTTGTTCCAATACATTTGTATAGATGCTGGCCACGTGAGTGAAAGCACAGAATTGTATGAATGTGTCGTTAATGTTTGTATTCAGCGGTAATATTTAATTCGAAACTGGACTACCCTATTACTTATAACACGCAAGACTTGTATTGGAACTCTTGAAATACTTTATTGAAAATTTAATAAAAACTGTTTATATCTACTCAAATAAAATAGTGTTCCACAGAAAACAGCTAAAATACGTTCAGTTGAGTACCATGTCATTAGCATGTAACGTTTAATCGCTAAATTAGATTTCTTCAAGAATTAAAAGGTATTTTGACACGTAGTTCATCATGTTTACTATTGACGCTAGTGCAGCCCTCTTCATTTATGTTTGACATTTTGGACTGTTTGATCACTAATTAATTAACTAATTAAACTCAAAGATTAATATGGATAGTCTGATTTAGCACTTTACTAATACAGCAACGATTGTTATCTGAACGCAAGGTGAGCACAATGACGTCACTTATCAAATCTGACTGACAGAGAAAGGCTTTGAAACCAGTCAATTCATCATTTCAATAGAACTGCAAAATTTATCACTGTTGCTTATACTTTTGTATTCCACCATCTAAGAGAATCTAAGGTGTAATTTGTTTACTCGGTTGGCCTTTTCTGTCTATATACCTTCGAGACGTACATCGTTTGCTTTTCTGCTGTAGCATTCAATAAGCGCTAACTGCAAGTGCACTGCACGATTATTTGCTAATTAAAAACTGTTCATTTTGGAAAATTAAGCAACTAATTCCACTCTCTTCTAAATTAATATCACTCGTTGTGCACATTCAGAAGTTTATTGTATATTTTGGAAACGCTGTCTAGTAGATCGATCGTCTTCAAAGTTTGTTTCATTCAGTTATTTGAACATCGCAGTGCAACGCGAACCAATCCAGCGTGGGTTCTTTGAAGCAGAGAGCGGTGACACAATTCTCTGGCTGGCCATTCGATCAGTTCCAGTGAGTTCTGGCAGAAGTCGGCAAATGTAGCAACTGCGTGAACAGCAGAGTGTAAATTACGCGACAGCAAAATGTCACGGAGGCAAGCTTTGTAATAAAATTGAGCAACCTGAAGAGAAAGAGCCTTGCATCTGGCGTACAGTGAGCCGTTGAGAATAAGACTATAGCAGAAAGATTCTGCATCTTGTCTTAGTTTTGTGTTAATGAAAACAATTTCCTTGCTAATAGGCTTTCTACTACGGGCATCAGCATCGGAAAACGACCAGTGAGGCTTGTGAAATTTCACCGTGAGCAAGTCGCTCTTTCCTCTCAAATCACGAATGACTCTTCCCTTAGCCTGATTGAACTTCCACAAGTGTACCAAGTCTGGATAGGCGTGGGCTTGCACATTTACTCTGCAATTAACTTTCACTAGGTCTGGGCTTGGCCGTCTTTTCCAGATACGCATTTCGTCAACTTGCCAAACAAAGCTACATCCAGGAAGCGAATTATCGGAACCAGGCGACAGCTGCCATTGTCGAAGCGCTAAGACGCCACCATTTGTGAAAACGTGGTTATCAAGTTTGAATACGCGGACTTTGACTTCCCCAGAAGAGCTAAACAAATAGAAATGAAGAATTCCAACCATCTTCCTATAAACCAGGGAGATCTGATTCCACTGGCCAATCTCAAGGGTCAGCCCTGTGTGAAACAATGATCCACTGTAGATGATCATTAATTTCTCATTGTTAACTATAGCCAAACGTCTTTGGCTTGAGTACGAAAGGATGACTCCTCCTAGTCTGGGCGCCATAACAAGCAGTTCGACCGTTAAAACATCAACATTGGGGAAGTACATGGGCTGAGAGCGAACGTAATGGTCTGCGAAGAACAGATTGAATCCAGCATGCGTGGGCACGCGATGTTCGATGTAGTGTAGGAAACTATAGATGAACATTGACCTGGAAGCATCTACTACTGAATTTATTTTAAGAGCCGTGATATATGTTTCAAGCTTGCTGGATCCCTTAAGAGTATGGCTTTTGCAGACTCCAAGTAAACCTGTTGAACTCTGACAGTATGCAGCTGGCATACGAATTATTACAGCAAGGCTATGGCCAACAGTTAATGAAAATTTAATTCCGTGTGGACCGTAGATATGAAACGTTGCATTGGACAGCCGGACCATAATGAAGTGCACGGATAGTTGGGTTCTGTGGTGAATGTGAACTACTCTGTTGTTCAACCAGACAAGCGGGAATACGACAACTGCTTTTGAAAGTGTTGTGACAGGAGCACGAATAACAACATGGCTGCTACCGAAACCAAATCCAAATCCTGTTGTGCAAAGGGAGGTAGAGGCATCACCAGTGACGCATGGAGCTTGTTGATGCTGGATGAAGAAGTTGTGTGCAGGTGATCGCAACAGGTAGAACTCGCCAGCTACTCTGTGGGTAAAACTAACACCGAAGAACGTTGAGAAGTAGCCGTATCCTCCAACTGATGCAACGACAACTGTGTTCAAAGTTACACCTTTGACTGGTTTGACGGCAAATTGACAGTCGGTTCCACTCCAACCTGGACTACAGCTACTACAGTTAGAATTACCGGCCCAATTCACTTCGCACTTGCATTTTCCTGTAGTTCTGTCGCACCGGCCGTGTCCTCCACATGTATGCAGTGGTCCTCCGGGACATAGATGAGAACAATCGTTTCCCCAGTAGCCTTTAGAGCACACGCACAAGTTACGATCGTCAGGATCCGCAGTACCAAACACGCATTTTACGTCACACTTATGTCCAATCCACAAAGGGAAATGACTTCCAGGGAACCTATTACAAAGTGGTTTTGCCGGCCAGCTGGTAAGATTAAGAACAGCTTGACAATGGTCAGAGAAGGTTACAACAGCTGTCAGGGCTGTATTCAGATATCCAGTCGTTGCTATATCTTTTAGACAAACAAGGTAATAAAATTCAAGTTCAGCTTTTAAGCCAGCGTAACAGAAATCAGAAATTTGGCTACTGTAAAAGAGCTCGAAGCAGAAAGATTTGGCCGTATTCTCTAGTGTTTTATTTGAAAAGTGCGACTCAAATGGTTTCCTCTTCGATGTAAAATTGGTTTTGACCTCAGCATCAGAGAAAACCCACTTAGGCTGTTGCAATGGTGACCTTGGCAAATATAAGTGTTCGTTGCTAGCCAAATTCTTGATGACGTCACCCTCACCTTCATTGATCTTCCAAAGACCTGTGGCGTCCGGATGTGTTGGAAGGACATTCATACGCCAGTTCTGTTGTACGAGAGCTGGATTAAAAGCACGTTTCCACACACGAAATTCATCAAAGACGCCAACAAACGAAGTAAAAGTGCAGGCTTCACTGTCACCAGGCGAAACTTTCCACCGCCCAAGTGAAAGGACTCCACCAGGTAGGAATGGGTGGGAAGATAACGTGTACGACCTTCGTTGTACTTCCCCATTGAAGTCAAAGTGATAGAATTCCAGAGCGTTTGTCCTATAGTGCCAAACAAGCGATATGTGACTCCACTGTTTGATTGTTGCCGTTACACCAGTATCAATGACAGTTTTTCCAAAATGAATTATGATGAAATTTTCAATTGTTATCGCAAATGTTTGTACAACTGCGTAAGAAAAAATTGTTCCAGCCAATTGGTAAGGCTTAACGAGGATTTCGACCGTTATATCGACGTGGGATATAAATGTTCTCGTCAGTGGCTTAGATGAAACTCCCGTTCTGTTGACGAAAATGGCGTAGATGCCTCCAGATGGTAGTCTTGTTTCTTGGTAATGTTTGTACTTCAAAACAATGATTCTGTCCCTATCAAGTACAGCAGCACTGCTTCCAACTCCATCGTTTAAGAGTGACTGAGAGGCGTTGGCTGGGATGACACTTGTGTTCGAACTGATTTTAAGGTCATTGTTAGGATCACTATCGCAAGAGCCAAGTAGACCCGTCGAGTTCTTACAGTACTCAGGGTTGACCTCTACCTTGAAACTCAAGTAGCGTCCAGTGATACGAATCCGGATGACGAAGTGGTCTTTCCAAGATATTTGGTAGTGGCTATGACCTTCATACTTCAGTAGAATGCCATGATGAAGGTTTCCGAGATTGGAGACTAGACCTGATAAGGGTATAAATCTTCCATTGACCAGTATAACTGGACCACCACCTGTTATATACGGAGCATGGAATGATATCACAGTTGATAAAACCCTTATTCCAATGGCGTTAACACAGACCGATTGTAATCTGCACGGTACCTGACGAACGTGAACTTGAAACGACTTGTGAGGCACATTTATTACGTAGTACTCACCAACAGCCACAAGGGTAAAGCTATAGCCGTCAAAGGTGATGTAATGACCACCAATGGAGCATATCGCGATGGAGAAGTGTAGCTTCTTGAGTGATACGAAGGCAAGGGAGCAATCGATCCCAGTCCATCCTAAAGAGCACTTACTACAGTCCACTGTCCCGTTATAATTAGCACGACAATTGCACTTGCCTGTGATGCTATCACACACTCCGTTGTTACCACACGGACTCGCAGCTCCACCAGGGCATGGACTGTCGCACTCAGGACCCCAGTAACCGTAGTGACAGAGGCAAGTTTCAGAGTCCTTTTTTGTTCCAAATACGCACTTTCGATCGCAGGCTTTTCCGAACCAGATAGGGAAATCCCTCCCTGGATATTCATTGCAGAGTGTTTTTCCTGGCCAAACTGTTAGATTGTTGATGGCCTGGCAGTAGTCGGCGTATGATATCATCACCTCCAAAGACATGTAAAGGGATTCGTATGTTAAAATATGACGGAGACAGGATCGGAAGTAAAAGATCGCCACCCCCGGACCCAAGTTGTTACATTTCGTATTGAGCACTCCCATTAATAACGTTCTGTTGCAAAAATGTTCAGCTTGCTCTTGAAATGTTTTGTTCTTGAAAGAGAAAGATGTTGGACTTTTGTAAAATGGCATTTGTAATGTCACATCTGAATATCTCCACTTAGGTTTCCTCCAAGGCTTGATTGGTAACTCCAGCTTCATCCCAGTGACCTTGTCCAAAGCGACAATACCCTCACCTTGGTCAAACTTCCATGCATGTGCGATGTCTTCCGTTTCTACGTCCACCGATCGATTCCACGTTTGTAGAATGAACGCTGGATGGAAATAGCGCGTCCAGATGCGAACTTCATCGAAAACCCCAACAAAACTTTCCGCAGGCTGAATTCCAGATCCATCCAAAGACGGCATCCAACCAGCCAAAGCGATCATTCCTCCGGGAGCAAAAATATCCACTCCAGTGTATATATCGAGGCGATGCAGCTGACCTCCATGCGAAAAGTAGTAGAACTGTAAGACAGTAGTGGATTTTCTGAACACGAGACTTATCTGGTTCCATTTATTTAGTTCCGCAGCGATGTTTGTAGGATAGTTTTTGTCGCCGTAGTAAATCGTGAACTTTCCTCCTTTGTTAGTTACAAAGAAGGTCTTGCTGCTTGTATAGGCAAAGATAACTCCGTAACGCACTGTTTTGAACATGATTTGAATGGTTATGTCAGTAGATAAGAAGGCCTTGTAGATGACTTCCGAAACGACCGCTGTTTGGTCAAAATACAGGGCGTAGCCAGCGTTCGCATCGCGATATTCTACCAAGTCTTTATACTCGTACTGGAATAAACTTTGGCATGCTTTCACTTTGAGCTTTGTAACAACAAGCGCTGTTATAACATCTTGAGTTGTGTTTTCGTTGTTTGATGCATTCTGGTTTTCTGTTCTATTAAACGCAAGGCTCACATCGGAGCAGTTTTTATTTGGATGAAAAGACATCAAGGATTCTAATAAATCCTGATTACAGGAACCAAGTAGACCGATTGCGCTTTTGCAAACCAAGCCCGTTAGTTTTGTGCTCAGGCTCAAGTAGCGTCCGGTGATATGTATTTTGAAGTGTAACCCTGTGTATTTTACTTCCCACAGATATGATGCAATTTTCTTCACTTCAAATCCGTATGTCTGAACAGTTATTGGATGCACATCGGTATCAATAATTATTCCGTTTAACCAGACAACCACGTCTCCTCCAGACGTGTACGGTCCATGTAAAACAAATGTATGCGAAGAGATTTTTATCGCAATGGAATTGATACAGGTTGCACGTTCAAAGCAGGAGACAAGTCGAATTTGCACAACTGCGGAAACATGTATAGAGTATATGAGGTAATATTCACCGGTCACGTGCAAGGTGAAGCTAATCCCTCTGAGCGATGTAAAATGCCCACCGAGTAATACTGCACCAACACCAAACAAAGCTCCTCCATGGGGCCATCTTGTGACAGCAGTTGAACAATCTGTTCCTGCCCAGCCCCTTGAGCAAGCCGTACAGTTCTCATTTCCTCTCCAATTTAGCTCGCAGAAGCATTTTCCTGTTACAGCATCACAGATACCATGGTTGTTACACGTGCGTCCTTTTCCTCCTGGACAAATACCCGAGCAGTTTGCTCCATAGAAGCCTGGGTCGCATTTACAGACTTGGGTGTCATTTGAAGCTTGGCCAAAAATGCAGGGAATTGTACAGTTTGCACCTATCCAATTTGGAAAACGTTTGCCAGGAAATTTGTTGCATAATGGTTGAGCTGGCCAGTAAGACAAATCAAGTGTTTTCTCGCAGTAATTGGAGATGGTTATCACTACATTGATTGACTGAACTGTTGAACCACTGTCTACAACCGCTTCTACGCAGGCGCGGAAGTAAAATTCCAAGGTAACGTTGCCTAGTAGCCTACAAGCAGTATGGATAGGTCCTTTGAAGATCAGTTCGATACACACCTCGGTAGCGATTTCCTGCAAAGTTGAATTGTTCTTTTTCGTATTCACTGCAACCACGGAGGCTATGGCTGCGTCAGAGAATACCCATTGTGGCGTCTCTAACGGATATTTGGGAAAGGATAACGTTACGCCAGAAACAAGGTCCTTGACTATGGCACTTTCCCCCTCGTTGAACTTCCACAAGTTCGTAAGACATAGGGCGTTAGGTTGAATATTTGATCGCCAACTTTGCTGAACTAGTGCATAGTCAAGTGGTCTGCTCCATACACATAACTCATCTATTTGCCCGTAAAATACGTTGGTTGGTTGAACGCTGATGGAAACAGAAGCAGGTTGCCACATGCCGACAGCAAATGTTCCTTCCCCAATGAAAGGGTCAATTGTCAAATGAAACTTTCGCACTTGTACCAGTCCTGATGAAAATGTCACAAAAACAAAGAGTTGCAGCTTTAAGCGGTAAAATACAATGGTGATCTGATTCCACAAACCTTCCTCGGTAGCAATTCCTGTATTAAAGACTTCTAGTCCAATGACAACTTTCACAGTAATATGATTGCTAATGTAAAAGGTCACATTCGAGGTGTAAGAAAGCAAAGTTCCTCCGCATATCCGTGGATCGCACGATTTGACAAGCAGCTGGAAGGATACCGTGTCGCTCACAAAGAGACGAACTACCTTTTGCGTAACTACTGCCGTGAATCTGTAATAGAGATTGTAGATACCACCGTATATAACTCGAGTTTCCTTGTGGACTTGTTTATCAATAACGATGACAGATCCACCTACGCCTTTAACGGACAGTTTCTCTTTTACAAAGCCATCAACGTTGTTATGAGATGCGTTTGCTCGTCCAAACTCTTCCAAAACAGTTGTTGGTCGTTTCGTCGGGAAAAGAGAACTTCCATTTCCCTGAGTTTCGTTTAAGGTCGGTACTTTAGTGCAAGAGCCACAAAGTCCATCGGCATATTGGCAGAAACTCAAAGGTATTGTGGATTCTACGCTAAGGTATCGAGCTGCAAAGACTGTTTGTATGGACAAATAGTGTGAAATAACAATCCTGTAGGAAGTGGAAGACAGTGGCTGAACAGTGACATTGCTGATTAACATTTCTTTAGTAGGCTCTCCTCCAGCACTGATTTGTTCATCATTTGCATATACAACTGGCTGGGAGTTAACGTCGTATGGAGCGTGAACACTGATGGACAACCCATTAAACCTCACACCCACAGCACTGATGCATACGGAGCTAACCTCACATGGTACTTGCCGAACATGCGCTTGAAGGATGGTAGAGTTTATCATGACAAATTCGCCCAGTGTCGTAAACGTGAAAAGTGAGCCATCAAATCCAGTCACGTAGCCTCTTTCTGATATGGTGCAGATTTTGGTGGTTACGTTTGCAACGGATGGTTCTGTTGTTGTCACAGCGACAGAGCACGATAAACCTTTCCAGCCGGGTGTGCATGAAGAGCAGTTTTGGTCTCCTTGCCAGTTGGGATGACACTTGCATACACCGGTTTCCATGTTACACTGACCATTCCCGAAACAAGGGTTATCCGCACCCCCAGGGCACACACTGGAACAGTTTGCTCCCCAGTAACCACTGTCACATTTGCAAGCTCCATCTGAATACCTGCCAAATAGGCACTTTTTAGTGCAGTTTATCCCAACCCAGTCATCATAACGTCCCCCAGGAAGCACATTACAAAGCCTTTGACCTGGCAGCACTGAAAGATTGAGGGCGGCTTGGCACTCCACAGCGAAGGCCATTGTTGTAGCAAGAACAGAGTCACGACTTCCTGATGAAGTAACTTCCGCAATGCAAGCGTCGTAGTAAAAATCAGATCCTCCCGTCGCGTTAGAACATTCTTCAGGTAGAGGACCTTTAAGAAAAATATCTGAACACAGCTCTTGGGTTGAATTGTCCATAACGTCTTTTGAAGGCTCCGGTATTACGTAAGCAGAGGCTTCTATAACTGCATTTGATGGGTACCAAACAGGACCTCGGAAAGGAGGGGTAGCTAGCCTGAAGTCAAATGATCCTAATGTCGCTCGCGCAATCAAGCCACTTCCTTCGTTAAACTTCCACAGAAGTGCTAGTCCTGGTGTATCTACTTGTAAGTTGGTGTTCCAGATCTCCTGAATCATAACAGCGTCGAATCGTTTATTCCAGAAACTTAACTCGTCCACCCACCCTACAAATCCAGGAATAGACAGGGATACTACAGAGGTGATCTGCCAGAGAGCAATTGATAAAGTACCACCTTCTGGGAATACACCAACGCCGATAAAAAATACTCTGGATTGGATGACGCCTAAAGAATCAATAAGGTAGAACTGAACAAGACCTGACCTGCGTCTATAGACCAAGGATATGTGATTCCATAGTTCATTTTCGAGGATTAGCTGTGTATCAATGACAATGGCGCCAAAGTGAATCCTTATCGATCCGTTTACTGTTACTGCAAAAGTCTCGGATTGAGCGTATGAAATAATGGTGCCTGTGTAGAATCTCGGGTCCTTTGCCTTCACAAAAAGCTGAACGGTGATGTAATTGCCAACAAAAACATTCACCAGAGGTGGCGACACGATTGATGTTCCGTTGAAAAATAGACAGCTCCCTCCTCCGCTTACTGAAGGTGATTCACCCGCGATTTCTAGGATGGGTCCAAAAGAGCTCACGTTGGCTGGGACAGCCCATTTATTCACATAAGAGACGAGTATATCTTGTGTTACAGTTGAGATATCATAGGTGTCTAAAATGCCTCCCCCGGTAGAGCAATTGGATGGAACTACCCTGGATCCAGGAAGCCTGCATCTACCGAGGAGACCGCAAGCTTGTTGACACAACCATCTGTCCATAGTTATGGAAACATCAAAGTGTATCGCAAGGGAGTTTATAACAAATTGGAAACCTCCTGGACCAGTAATTGTATATCTATTTAGCGATGCTCGTTGAAAAACAAATGCTGAAACCCCAAGTGAAATAGTGGTCTTGTGGTTGACGGGAAAACCATTAACTGTTATTAAGACTTCTCCCACTCTTCCGATATTGCTGTGGATTGCAATTACATTTGCTCTAACACGTACAGCGACGCATCTTAAGCGTACATAACCGCCTATTCTGACTTGCCGAAACTGAATGCTGAGTCCATAACGCTTCAAGGCCAGAACGGTAAACTCACCCGCCACATTCACATTGATTTTAACACCGTCTAAAGTGACATAATAGCCAGTTCCAAACACCGATGTTATCGGGAGCTCATCTGTAGGTGGCCTAATAGCCACCGAACAATCTTTGCTGAAATAGCCTGGGGTACATTGGCTGCAGTCTGTTGCCCCTCGCCATTTTCTTCCACATTGGCATGTTCCACTTCGAGCTAAGCAACGTCCGTGTCCACTGCATACATTCACAGGTCCCCCAAGACAAATTTTGTCACATTGCGATCCCCAGAATCCTTGGTCGCACTCACATCTACCGTATAATTCTCGAGTCTGGTATCCAAAGACACACGGAATATCACAGTTTACACCGATCCAGTTGATAAGTCTTGACCCTTGGAAGCCCCCATATCTGCCAGTAAACAATCACAGTGTTAATACTCATTGTTAAATTCGAAAATGGTCTCAAAGTCACGGTTAAATGGAATGATCCAAATCACAGGGTTTTTTGCCTTGACTTAGATCAAACAGGACAGTAATAAATGTGACCTTTGATTAAGGAATTACTGAACAGACAACCCCAAAGGTCATCTCGCATTAGCACTCGATCACGGTCGTGTCTAAAGAAGTCTGTTCATGTGATCATAATTCTAATTCTTCGACTTGTAATTTACGTCTCTTTACAGTGTCTTTAACTTTAACTATTATTTTTTGTAATATATTGAATGTCCGTATATATATATATATATCTTTTTTTCTGGCAAAAAAATAAACTGAAACTGAAAGGGTAAGTCTAGTTATTGTTATTAACCAAACAGCTACCTGCACATTCTTCTTGCCGGCCAGATGGCGATGTTTAGTTGCATTTGGCACGTATCTGCAAACGCTACCACCACACTCACTCCGAGCGATACCTGATTTCTTGCAGCTATTACCCTTAAACACGCTCTGACATAAAATGAATTGGTTCCACCGCCAAGTCCACTGCAAGCATAGCTCAAGGGTGAGGTCACGATGTAATGATTGCACCATTTCTCGGCTTTGACTCTTAACTCACTCGTGTGAAAGGTGATTTCAGTGGTAACTGGTAAAATTTTTATGTTAACGTAACTGAAGATCCAACGAGGAGCGCTGCGTACAGATAGAATATACAAGTGGACACCGTTCACCAAATCGTGAACGATGTTGTTCTGTCCTTCATTGAATTTCCACAAAATAGCAAGGTGACGAGCGGTGGCAATAACGTTCACTCTCCAGTTTGTTTTGACATCATGCCGGCTGAATTCACGGTTCCAAAAGCGAACTTCGTCGATCAAACCAAGATAACCGGGTAAACGAAAGCGTTCACCTGTGTTGGTTTCCAGAGCTGGTATCCATTGACCAACAGAGATAGTGCTTCCTCCCCTCTTAAATACACCGGCAGTCATTGTACGGGTAGCTTGACGAATATTACCTATGGAATTGATATGGTAGAAGTAGATGGCACCGGTGATGTTATTGTAAACGAGGGTTACTTGGTTCCATTTGTCTACCTCCGCGGATATTCCAGTATCCCAGATCTCCAGCCCAATGCACAATCTTATGGTCACGTTAATAAACATAGTAAATGTCACTGTCTTGCTGTAGGTGAAGAGAACGCCTCCAGGCTTTGAATCTGCAAACACCTTAAACAGCAGTTCGGTAGTGATAACAGAAGAATTTAGTACGTCAGGTATAAGATCGGTAGACACACCAATTCGCTCGAACTTTAAAGCGTATTCCCCACCAGTTACCTGCCGTTGTTCGCTGTAAGTTCCGTAGTTATAAAAGAAAAGGCTTTCGTCAGTGGAAACTCTCCATGTGTCCTCCAAAGACGCACCATCTGTCACGTTGAAGTCATTCTCTCTGTTGCCATCACAATTTCCACACAATCCATTCGTTTTATAACATAACGACTGATTGACATGACCTGCAATTAAAAGTTCTCTTCCAATTACACGGAGTTGAAATGTGAGATCTTGAATCTCGTTGGAGAGGAGATAAGTCGTTGAAGACGTCTGTTTCAAGAAAACTCCACTGGAAATGTGGAGCCTTGTTGAACTAAAATGTGTCACACTACCATTCACCCAGACAACAGGTCGCTCGCTTTCTTCGTAAGGAGCATGGAACGTCAGTTTCCATTCGGAAATAAAAGAGAACCCCACCGCGTTTATACAACGCGTTTTGCCATTATGACATGGTATTTGTCTGAACTGTCCTTGAAATCCCGGCCCTCTCATCAACCAGAATTCGCCGACACCAAAAAAGTTAAAGTAAGAGCCGTCAAAGTTGGTATAATGTCCTCCAAAGAAGGCTGAGCATGTTGGTACCTGGGCCAGTGCAACGGCAACAGAGCAATCAGATCCTGTCCAACCAGGGGTACATTCACTACAGTCATCATTTCCCTGCCAATTAAAAACACATTCACAAGTTCCGTTCTTTACGTTACAGCTTCCGCGTTGGTTGCAGGGGGTATTTCCACCTCCTGGGCATTCATTGGCGCAGTCCTTACCCCAGTATCCTCGTGTGCACACACACAGGCTCGCGTTTTGAATGTCGGGATGTCCAAAGACGCATTTAAAGGAACAATTGGCGCCTATCCACTCCTGGCGAAGGCTGTTTGGAATTTGCTGACATAAGTGTTGAGCAGGGGATGAGGGAAGCTGAAGGACATATTGGCAGTAGTCGGCATAAGCATACAGTATGACATAAGCACTGTCTAAGGAACCAGAGGAATGGACATCAGCAAGACACGCTTGATAGTAAAACTGAGGAACGGCTTTCTCTAGTAGCTGCCCACATAGAGTCTTTATTCGAATGTCGTAAATCAGTTCAGAGCAGAGCTTTTTGGCCAAGAATTCGAAAGTAACATTAGTAAACACGACTGTAGGACTAACAACTATTATTGGAAGCACATCTCGAGTGTAGGAGAACTGCCACACAGGCCGTCTGCTGATCACTTGAGGAAGATAGATACTTGATGAACCGGCTACAAGATTGTTCACCACTCGGCCAGCACCCTCGTCAAATTTCCACAGAGCACTCAATGTGGGTAGGTTCCCTTTGAAAACAGTGAAGAAACTCTGACGGATAAGTACAGTATCGAGCAAAAAGTTCCAGATGCGAACTTCATCTATGCTTCCAAAGAATGGCTGTAGCGGCACACCTGTGATGTGGTGCTGAGTTATGTGCCAGTGACCAAGCCACACAGTGCCACCCGAGGTAAATAAGTTAGGTCCGACGTACATTTCTTTGCTAAACAGGTCGCCTTGACCGTTAAGTTGATAGTAAGCCAACACCCCTAAAAGAAAAACATCATATTGTTATAACAAAGCTGCTTTGCGTGAGAATAAAACGACAATTAGGTAAGAGAGAAAAGAATTCGATTTTCCTCTTTTTGTGGTTATATTTACATATAACGCTATTATACACACTGGACAAGTTATCCCCGCTGATTTTGTCGTCCCACTGACACATTTTTACTTTTTGGTTAAAATGAATTAGATCACTTAATCCGGTTGAAACTAATCACTTTTGAAAACTATTCACTACTGTGTGGCAAAGAGCGACTCACCAGAAGAAGAACTGTATGCAATCGATACTTCAGCCCAGATTCCCAAAGGAAGCGTGATTCCCAGGTCATACTCGGTCTTTCCCACATGGATCTTAGCTGCATTAGCATTGTTTACAATGGCAAAGGTAAATTCTTTAGCATAACAAATAATTGTGCCTCCGTAATCATGCACCCTAACAAAAAGTTGCAGAGTAAAGTCTTGCCCCTTTGTAAATGACGTGGGTAAAGCAGTAGACGATGCCAAAGTACCGTTAAACTGCAGCGCATAGCCATTCAGATTAATTTCTCGTTGCTCGCGGTAGCTCGTGTAGCCGAATAAAAACAGTGATTGACTAAAAGAGACCCTCCATTGGGAACTGAAGATGGAAATAATTTCTTGCTGTGAAATGATTTGCTCCGGGTATTTTGCACCTGTGCTGTTTGTAAAATCGTTCTCAATATTCGAGTCGCAAGAGGAACATAGACCAGATGAGACTGTGCAAAACTGCCTCACAGATGTCAATTCAAACGACAGATACCTCTTCCAAACTTTCACTCGGAGCAAAACAGTTCCAGATCCTTTTTTACCTATTTCATAGGTTTTTGGAGCTATTCTCTGAAAACGAAAGTCATTTTCCAGGTCTAGTGTGGTGGAACCTGTCAATTCCCGGTTATACCAGACCAAAGCGCCGCCGTTGCCATCATAAGAAGCTCTTATTACAATACTCGATGAGCCGGTTTCTACTGCGACTGACGAAATACAGAACGAGCCATTCATGCAAGGGATTTGGCGAATCTGCGCTGTGAACTGATCTCTATTTATCAAGTAAAATTCTCCGTAAGTTTGAAACCTATAGCCAGCTCCATCAAACGTTATGTAATGCCCTGCTCCGAAACCTTGACAAGTGTAGTTATCTAAGTTGCTGCCATTTCTTCCGAGTGCCACAGAACAATCAGAACCAATCCACCCTGGACTGCACAAGCTGCAGTCTTTGGTAATATTTGCTGTAACGGGGCAGCTGCATTTTCCAGTGATGTTATTACACAGTTGTTGGCCGCCGCATGGTGAAAGGTACCCTCCTGGGCATTCCTGTGAGCAGTTTTCACCGTAAAATCCTTTCATGCAAAAGCATCTGTCATTTTGTGGAAACCCAAATCTACAGTATTCAGCACAGTTCAGCCCGTACCACACTGGGAAGTTTTCCGCGGATACCTGACCACACAGTCTTTGAGCGTACCATGTTGAGTGCCGATCGAACAAATAGTAGAAATCTGACACAGCCATGATTGTCGAGTAGGCATAATTAAAATAACTGCTTCGCGTTATGGCTGCCACACATGACATATGGTAAAACCAGAACGTTGCCGAACTTAGCATGCTATACTGTGACCCCATGGATGATTGAAAAACAAGATCAAAGCATTTCTCCTCTGCGCTTATCCACTTGTCACCAAATCTAAAACTGTACGCGCTTAAAAAGTCAACTGAAAACTGTTGCATGCTAGCTGTTGAAACCACCCACAACGGACCATGCCAGATACCGGTTTGAAATGTAATGTGAATGTTGGATACGCAGTCGTATGCCACTGTACCATAACCTTCATTGAATTTCCAAAGGCTAGCAAGGTTTTGGACGCGAGTGTTACAGTCCATGTTTCGCTTAAGGTTGGCCAAAAGTGACAACTGATCAAGCTTTTTGTTCCAGATTCGAAGTTCATCAATTTGGCCAATGAATCCTTCTTTCAGTGGCTTTGTTAGACCAGCAGGTGCTGGCCGGCAGTAGCCCAAGGCCAATATCCCTCCAGGTTGAAACACGTTCTCGTTACTTGGTATGGGAAAGTTTCGGCTGTGCGCGTTTCCAGAACCATTGAAATAGTAGAACTGGAGAATAGAAGTCGATTTGGACCATACCAAAGCAATTTGGCTCCATTTGTTCATTTGAATCACCGCTAAAGTGTCCAAGATGGTGTCTTCGTATCGAATTTTTAACTTGCCAGATTCTAGGACAACAGCGAACATTTGGGTGGTTGTATACGAGATAAGAGTTCCATTTTGGCTCTCCGCACGAACCATAAACTCAATAGTGAGGTCAGAAGAAGAGAAGCTGAATATTTCTCCAGTGTGTGCACCAGTGTTGTTGATGAATAGTGCGTAGCCTCCACCGAATAACTGTCTTTTTTCCTGGTAGGTATTAAATTTATAAATGAATAAACTCTTCTTTGCCATCACTTGCCATGTTGGGCCATAAAGGTCATGCAAGTACGATTGTGTGACATTTTGCCTTGTAATTAAGTCACCGTTTCGGCTAGATAGATCATCAAATGTGTTGTAGTTACAGTTGCCCCAAAGTCCTTGGGTTGCCTGGCAATACGTTTCATTATCAACTCGCATATGGATGTCAAGATATCGGTCATATAAGCGAATGATCAGATGGACGCCATAGACAGAGGAGAGAATGAACTGTAAACGCGACGTGCGTTTGAACGTAAACTTGTGACTGTCTGGTCCAAAGTTGAATTCTAGAGAATATGTCCTTTTCCCGTCGAGGAAGATTACGGGTTCTTCTTTGACTGCAAACCTTCCATGAACCAGTAGAGTGTGTTGTTCTATTCGCACTGCTATTGCGTTGAAGCAAGAGCTTGTTGAATAGCACGTAACCATCCGAGCCTGAACTTCAAAGGACTGGGACAGAATCAAATGGTACTCTCCATTACCCAAAAATCTATACCCAGCTCCGTCGAGTGTGATAATGTAACCGTGGCCAAATGCTGCTGCGGTTCGATTGTTTGGACTTTGGATGATGACTGAACAGTCTACACCATGCCAACCCGGAGAACATGTGGTGCAGTTTTCGTCTCCTTGCCAGTTCGGATCACATGAGCAGAAGCCCGTAGTCTTGTTGCAGAGCCCGTTATTGAAACATGGAGCGTCAGGTCCTCCGGGACAGTCATGCTGACAGGCTTTTCCCCAGTGTCCATCGTGACACGAACATACAAAGGATTCTCTTAAAGTCTGTAACAAAAGGAGAAATTATCTCAGTCGTGCGTGTATGGACATCTGCCGCGAATCATATCGTGTTTTATGAGACTACGATTGTAACGTTTGCAAAGACTATATCTTATACATTTTGTTGATAAGGTTGATTTTAAACAATAAAAAATTTGAGCTCACGTTCTGAGCCGAAGCGTTCATGTCAGCACATCTCATGGAATGTAGAAGAGATGGGTCCACTACTGCTGCCTGTCTGGTATTGGACACTGAGAATGCTATTACCCAGGCTATTGGGTTGGTGTCTTGCAATCTATTGAAAGTAAAAACAGAAGCAAATACGTTTAAACGTATAGGCGGAGCTTCAAGATTTAACAACTGCCTATTTCCAGAATGTTGTATAGAAAGGTCCTTTCATCAAACTGCCTTAAAAACGTGACAGACAAGGGTTTCCACTGCACCCTTTGTAACTTAGACTTGATAGTTCATTTTAAAATTACTTAAAAATGTAGAGAATTGAGTGTATTATCAAATCTTGGGTAAAGCTTGGAACTCCCAGAATGTGACTGCACCGATTTTTTCAGTTAACAGTCACTGTACTCGACTACAACTGAATACACACTTACGACGTAAGCTTGAAAGCGAGGCCTAAGGGCCGCCAGAGTTCACGCAAACTTTAAAAAAAGAAAATAGGGCGGCAAAAACAATAAATATTTGTGATTTGGAGGTTAAAAAATTAACCCTAAAGATATTTCTGAAGCTGTTATAAATGAACATGCGTAGGAAAGTGGACAGTGGAGAAGCTAATCTTCGGCAAGGATCCTATTATCGGAACAGTTATTACAAAGAGCAGCAGCACCGCATTTGCGAGAAAAATATCTCCTGCCTTAGTAGTAGGGTGCGCTTCTGCCATTTTATATACAATTTAATTGCGATGTGGCCCTTAGGCCTCGCTTTCATGCTTACGTCGTAAGTGTGTATAATAATCCATTACAAACGAACAGTGTTTGAGCGAGGCCAAATCAAATAAAATTGTACCTGACTCTAAATGCCTTGTCGTGTCTTCCAGGACTAAACTTGGTCGGTTGTCCGTAATTTTCTGTTTCTAGGGGTACGAGGCTATTAGCTGCATTTTCTAAGCCAGTAACCTTTCGAACAAACCCAGCTAGCCCGCCAGGAACAATCTCTGTATAAGGCCTGGAAAAGAAGTTGTTCGGTCCAACACTGAGGTAGACATTATGGGGATTTCTGTTGTTGTATCCAAACCATGCGAATATTTCGCCTTCACCATCCCCATAAACACAGTTGACGATCGGATCGACTGAATATTTTCCCCCGTCTCCGTCGAGTTTATCACGGTACTGAGCATGCGCAGTAATACAGTAGATATCACATCTCTCCCCTACATGTGTACTGTCGCAGGTTGTACAGGTTGGCAAACCCCAGCCAAGCACACAGTTGTCGCAGGCGGTTCCATTCCAGTAGCCAAGCTTTGAGTCATTATGGCACGTACAAATATCTTCATTTGGACCTGTTCCGTTCCCATGAACACACGCCGCGTTACACCCAACTGGCCAGCCAATAAAGTTTGCAATACAACTGTCACATTCGGAACCAGTAAACTGCGGAAGACATCGCTCACAGGAATGTCCGTCGAATCCATGGTCACACTTGCACGTTGGTAAGTCGCCTTGCAGTGTGCAGTTTCCTCTGTTGCTACACATTGGCTGTCCCGGGCAAACAAACGTACTACAGTCAT